AACAAGAAAGATGAAGATTGACAAAAAGAAGATAATTACCTTTTAGGGAAAAGTTCATTATCATTATTATTATTATTAATAGTAGTATTCTTTATTTTTTAATACAGGTACTGTTGCCAATAAACTTGATAAAGTGAGATTACTTTTTTCTCTCCTATTTCATGAAGTGATTATGACAATATAGTTTATTCTTGATAGACCAAAATTATTGATCAATCTCTATTACTGTTTAAATTTATAAATACAGTTTTGGGAACACACAAACTTTACCTATCAAGAATAAAAAATATTTTAACAATCTCTTTACGAAAAAAGGTAACATATTATCCAACCATTGGCAACAGTGAGGCAGCGTCACATAATCTATGCAGCAAAGTAGACCCATTGAAAGTCGTTCGCACCATTTTTGGTAGTGGTGATAAATAGGATAAACACTGTGCTGCATACTGTACTCTTTAAAAGGGTTTCCCTTGTTCTTCCAAATAAATAACGTCATTCCTATTGTACCCTGCTGCGAGGGAGAATCGAGAAGACGTTTGACAGTGAAGCTCAACTCTAATACCATTTTCTCCTTCAGTTCAATTACGCTACGCATTTTATTAAAATCATTTTTTTTCGACTTTGAGAATGAGACTTTTCAGGACAGACGATTCTGGTCGAATATAAGATATAACTGTTCCCTCGTTATTCTCAGTTCCTTTAAAGACTGATTGAGATCAGATTTAATCAGATCTCTAAAAACCGACACCGGCAACGCAATGTGAACGAGGTGCAAGCACTCACTCTTGTCGTTACAAATGTTTCAGGAAGTGGGCATGGATAATCTAAACAGACACACAGGAAATAGAAAGCCCTTTACTTCCGGTAACAACCAACTGAATACAATTCCGGTTGTGCATATTACTCGAACGTATATAATTGGAGTCGTTAGAATTATACTGAGGGAATTCCCTGGTTTATTCATGTAATCACTACTTCATACTAGGGTCATTAAACCTTTATCCATTTACGATGTTTCTGAATCTGTTCTTACGAAGGCCTACCACTACGCACACAATTACACCACAGTGAGATACGATAATTTCGCCTACATGCATAATACTTACGTATCACCATCACCACCACCACCACCATCATGCACCACCATCATCAACATCATCATCATCATCGTCACAAGGCATCACCAACACTAACACCACCACCAGTACCAACACCACTACCATCACCGCCATCATCGCCATCATCATCATCATTGCCATCATCATCATCATCATCGAATTCATCATCATCATCATCGTCATCATCATCATCATCATCAACATCATCTTGAACAAGCACCTAACATTGTGAGATAGGTCTATAACAATAAGAATCGGAGAACCAGCAGTAATAAGAGTACGGTAGTAAACTACTACTACTACTACTACTACTAGTAGTAGTAGTAGTAGTAGTAGTAGTAGTAGTAGTAGTAGTAGTACTACTACTAGTAGTAGTAATAGGAGGAGTAGTAGTAATAGTAGTCATGGTTGTAGTATATAGGCCTCGTGTCAACAGCCGTTGTAATTAATGGCCCCAACTATATAAATCATGCTTATGTTCTTTTACAAGGAAAAATGTCCCTGATTATAGCATAATCTAAAATATGGAGAATGCACTTAAAAATTCTTTTCATTGAATTTTCAGCTTATTGTTTGAAGGGTATTTACTATCACCCACTAGGATGCATTGAGACCACTATAATCGCCCCTGATATTTTGTTCCGCTGCACTGATCATCTTCTGAATCACTCCATTCTTGATACGCATTCTTTTGACGCACCAATAGTTTTGAAGGACGATTTATTTTTTAAAGTAATTAATACGAGCAAATTGTAAACATATATTTCATTTTCCAAAGGTGTCCGAATTAACTTGTTTAATAAGTGTTTTGTTAAACCGACATTGAAAGAGAAATTGACGATAATGGCCTTGAGTTGTTCTCCAAAATATGTTTGATATCAAAGCCACTATTTCCTTTTCTCGCAAACGGAACTATGAGTAATATCAAAAGAACTCCGATTTTATTGATTTTGTCTTGGTTTTGAAGTTTTGTTAGTTGCACCTCATTCTAAAATATTTCATTGTCATGAATTGTGTTGATACACGAAATCTCAGTATCATTAAGCATAATCTGATGAAAGACAACAGGACGAATTATTGCACATTTTTGCTTTTTTTGCAAGTAGCGTGGATAAGATTATGATGCAACAACACAATCGCAAATACTTTCGAGAAATCAATCGTTAGCAAGTTCCCTGCCCTTGTCCATCATGTTTGGAAACATATGAAATCCACCAATAAAATCTTTTCAAATATGATTTCTGTAGTCATTGTGGAGTAGACAATGTGCACTACAATGTGCAGAATATTGATTGAATCCAAAGACCGGGGTAATCATAATACTGTAACTACTTTATTTAGCTAATGGAAATGTGCCATAAAAGAAACCGGTATTACAGCGTATTATCATTATTATCATAATCATCATTATTGTTATCATTATCATTGATCTCGCTCTCTCCCTCTCTTTATTATGTTTCGTTTGTACTATAGGATGTTAGTTTAGTTTACTTTAGTTTAATTAATAATAGTTTAGTTTAATCGAGGGCTGCAAGCATTTCAAGCTTCACGCTGTATCCCTCATCATGTTAATTGTAAAGTGAGTAACGTTCTCCCATATATTGTCTATGTTCTATAAAGTATGAGTATCATGTATTGTACTTTGAAACGCAAATTATATCAAACTGATGGACATTATATATGTTATATGTATGTTTAAAATATGATATAGAAATCAATAAATCAAATCAAATCAAATCAAATTATTATAGGCACTAAAATAGGGTATAGAAATTGCTCTTGAGTAGAATAGTTGAATTATAAGCCCCCCCCCCCCCCACTCAGGTTTCGAAATGACCGCATGCGTGTTGCCAAAATGTCCGGTAAAGGGGTACTTTTCGTGCGACAAAGTCCGGCCCGAGAATTGTAAAAAAAGGGGTGTATTTGACTTTTCACCCGGAGATTTCTTTAAAAAGGGGGTTTTTTCTTTTTTTCTCTCATTTCTTTGGACTCCTGAGAAATTATTCCGAATTTAGGGGGGTACATTGAGCATTTTTCCTGATTTAGGGGGGTCTCCAAGGCAGGAAAAGCCCGCGAAAAGCCCGCGAAAGGGGGGTTCGGAAATGTTGGCAGTCCTCAGATAGGGGGTGCTTTCAAAAAGAGGGAACGAGCATATGCGTACCCTAAATAACACTGAGTGGGGGGGGGGGGGGCCGGGTAAGCCCCATACAGGAAATGTTTTTGCAACTCGTAACCCATGCCTTCGTTGTGAGAGAAAATTACGTTTTCTTTTGCGATGAGCTAGTACTGTGTTTCCATACGTCAATTACCGTTGCCATTATGCGCCAATGGAGCTACAATAATATTGAACAAAGTATTGAAAGGCTTTATTGGACCACGCCATTATCTCTATGGACCACGCTGATATTTTTTCTCGAAAATCGTTTATAGCATACCATAACAGCGACAATTAGGCTACAATGATTTATCCGCACTTGAGAATAAAAGGTGATTTCAGCGGTTTTGTTCGATCTATGATAAAACCACAAGTCATATAAATTGCATGAAACAAGGAAACCATAACAACCATCCCTCTAAATCATTTCCTGGACATATTTTCTACTAAGAGCTAACCTTGCATCATGGACTGGTAGCGAAGAAAACAGGTTTAAATTGTAGTTACGGTTTAATAATACTGACGATAATAAAATAATTTTCATAAAGCACATGTTAAAGAAACGCCCTTCATACTCTTGAGAGTAAATAGTCGTTAACTATAAAAAAAAATAAAGTGTGTAATACGTGTATTATTGAATTCAAGATTTAAATAATGGTAGACTTGATATAAAAGTAGCAATAAATAATAAATATCACATTCTTATTTTATTCTAAGATGATAAATAACCTATATTTTTCAAAAGAGCTCCTTTTGGAATCAACTTAGTGTTACCGCAGTCAAACCGCCATACTATTTCCAAACCGACCCCAGACCGAGCGAATTTGGGGGTAATTTTCTGTCGTCTATCTCGTTGGTGTGATAGGTGTATTAATGTCATTTGTTTTGCTATGTAGGTTTAATGGCTGTGATCGAGGCCCGTACCCTAATAAAATTTTAAACCACACGTTGGGTTACACTTTTGTTCGAAACTGGATTTAACAAAGGTAATTAGTCTGGGGTCTTAGTATTCCTTTGTTAAATGTGATTTACCCAGAGTCGTGTTTACATGAGCGAGTAGAATAGGAGTCTATAGGGTTTTATGGAACTCGCTCCAGCGACATTTGACTAAATTCGTCAAATTTTTAACTACGTTTCTGGATCCAACAATATGGGCCTATCCTGATCTAATCCTGATCTAATCCTAATTCATAATCTCATTTAAAACACAGTCGTTACCAATGTTATCTTTGAACAACGAAATTTAGAAGAATTCGTACAAAATAAAGATACCCTGGAGGCCCCCCCCCCCCCCCCCCCCGTTATTTAGGGTACGCGTATGCATGCACGATCTGCGCTTATCATCATGACGTCATCGATCACCCTCCCAGCGTAGGGGGTTTCCCCTGCTCACACCTTTTGATGTCTTATTGCTTTTCATGCACGTGGTACGTATCAGGCAAGGTATATAGTCTTCAAATATAGGCATCTTACCAAGGAGATGCAATCTAGTTTTACACTTTTTTTAAAAGACTTGGTGGATTAAATTGACATAAGAATACCCAAGGAAGGATGGTCAACTTTGCATTTCCCCTTGTTTAGTTTATCGCCGATTATAGATGACATGGGTTTCAGTTTCACTATATTGTTATTTCTGATCAGGAGATTGTGGTATTGAGCAAAAGTGCGGAGCGCACAATCTTCCGCTCGCGGACAATGCGAAGCTGTAGGTTGTGCATGAATGGGTTTGTGTACATTGTGTGTGCGTGAGCTGGTCATTGTAATGCTGTTCAATTTGCAGAGTTAAATATTGTTTCCAAATATTTCTCTACCAGTATTGTTCACGTAATGCCTGACAGTTCAACAAACAAATGAGTAGAAACTGAGTTTGGTTTCTACGTCATTGTGAGTGTTTATATTGCTGTAATTTTTTAAAACGATTCATTATTCGGATTAATCTCGGCGGAAATTAAACCTGTGTTGGATGTTTGTGTGTGATTCTCTTGCGCGTTGTTAGAAAAGGTGTTAGGCCCATTGGTTGAAGTGATGACTAGCCGAAAGTCCGGGGAGCCTTCCGTTGCTTGGTCACGGGTAGGGATGCGGGTGATATGGTTTGCTCATCTACTGGCATCGTGCTTCGTTCATGGTAAGCTGCCTTGCATGTTTTGAGGTTCCATTCTTTCATCCTTTCTTTTTCCCTATACTCTCTAGCTTTCTTTCTTTCTAGCTTTCTTTCTTTCTTACTTACTTTTTAGCATTCTTTCTTTCTCTCTTACTTTCTAGCTTTCTCTCTTTCTTTCTTACTCTCTTTCTTTCTTTCTTTCTTTCTTTCTTTTCTTACTTACTTCCTAAGCTTTCTCTTTCTTTCTTTATGGTTTATGTTGATTTCTTTCTGTCTGCCAAATAAATGTGATTTGTCTAGAGTGGTTTGTGAAATTAAAGGCTAATTCCTACTAGCTCTATACTTGTGCTAGGCCATTTAAATTAGAGGGAGGGGGGGGGGGGCGGTGCCAACTGTTTAAAAATGAGACCCCCCCCCCCCCCGACAACCCCTTAGTGCCTCAACAAGGCATTGAAAGGTCTTGTCAGATGAGGGAGGGGGGGGGGGGGTGTAGAATAGTTATGAATAAAAGGATGTAAAGAACAGTCCTGTGCAGTGATCTTTCTTTTCTTAAAACTTTTTTTAGTTTTTTTTAAACAAGGTCATTCTCTACTCGCTGACTCAAAATGTAATTTGATATATATTGTATTGTGCCCTCTCATGCATATCTCTTTAGACTCCTTTCTAATGCACCAATCTCATTCCTCATCTTCTTCTCAATCCCCATGCATCTCATCCTTTTGTAATATTTTATGTCACTTCTTTTTTGGCATTGTCTAGTTGACCGTGTTATATCTTTTTCATGTCAAAGTTCCCTCTTGTCCTGTTCTTGTCTCTGTTGGCATATCCCCCTTTTTATATTTCTAGTTCCTTGTGTAGTTACAAATTTTGGTAATTTAATTACTCACTATTAATTCCTAACTATCAAATTTTGAGGGGTCCATGATTGTACCAGCATTGCTTTTTAGTGGACCCCTCTGTCTCCAATATGTATTCCTTAATTGTTGTACATTTAAATGATCATAATTGATTTGTAATGTTTTGTTGGAAACAAATATATAATTGAATTGAACAGAAAAATTGAATTTAAAATCTATGATCATACGTACATGTGTAGTATAAGCAATTGATTAAAAAGAAGATTTTTCTTCTAAACCTTGTCTTGTAATGAATAAAATTCAATGTGTTCAATACAAATACTAAAAGGTTATCATTGGTAAATAGAAATGACCACTTGTAAATAACGGAAACGACCGATTAAAACTCATCAAGCTCCCCGAAACAGAACAGATATATGATCCATTAAAACTGAGCCTTGCTGATCATCATTGGCATGCAAGGCAATGAAAAACAATGAGTATGCACAGCTTGGAGAATTTTTGTCAAAGAGCCAACATTTCTTGAAACAGATACTTAGGTTAATGCACTATGGCGTATGGGTTATTATTATAAGAGGTAACTGAATACCAGACTTACGTACATGTACATGTAGGTATACATGTTGCATCGAAATGTCATAGTGTAGAACATTATTCATTAATACCTTTACCTTTTACCTTTTTTCTTCCTGGATAATTGCATAGACTATAAAGCTGACAGCATGAATTTGCTGCTGTTTTGCTGTTTTAGAAACACCATTATCAGTAATATTGTTTGAACAGTAATAAAAGGGAGAACAAAAACTCTAATTGAAATGACAAGTCACATGCACGAGTGGTTGTAATGAAATAAATTTGAATAGGATGTGTTTTGCTTGAATGAAAATTATTGCCTGATGGCACGCATCTGGAGCATGTATATTGTTAAAGCCCCACTGTCCTACTTGTAGCTACTTGCTCCCTCTATATATAGAAAACTTCCCTAATCGGTGCCTGTTGGTCCCCCATGATCCTCTTTTTCTTATGTTAGTTGAGAGCTGAGTTAATGAGATAGCCACCTGTCAGCAACCTCACTGTGTGGTCTAATCCCTTCTGGCCCAGTAGTTTTGACAGTCTTTAAATAGTAAAATTGGGTTTATACTGGTAGGAAAATTTTTACTCATAAAAATTAATGCTTGTGCTCATGTTTTTGGAAAGAAGATGATTTCAGAAAGTGAATAACAGTTTAAAATGAAATTAGTTGTTTTGTAATTTGAAACAGTTGGAAAAGGGTATTAAATCTATTTGAACAAATGGGTATCTGGCTATTGATTTCAAATGTTTATGTCTTAATGACTAATGCCTAATTTTGAATGTATAAAAGTATTGCAGTGCTGAAGTTCAAAGTAAAATCAAAAGAAAGAAAGTGTTCTATGTACTTGTAAATAACCTTCTCTGGTTTATCCACATTTCAAAGAATGGTGGAAGTAACTACATGTATTTCTAAAAATAGAACATTAGTTCCTTGTTTTATCTAAAGTACATTTACATCATAAAGGGAAAGTCCACCCAGACATCAAGTTGACTTTAATAAATTCAGAGAAATGAGAAAAAGAAACTAGTAAATGTTTGAGTAAATCTGATTCTGATGTAAATGTACATTATAGGTAGCCTTGAATAAATATAGCAGAAACTACAGACTTTTTGATTTCTGAAGCCTTTCTTCATTTATTTTATAGACATTTGAAAGGCATATAATTGCTTTATTGTCAGGTTGTATAATGTAGCTTGCCTACATGTAAGGGTGTTAATGTCTAATGATGTAAATGGCTCTATGGCAGCACAGGTATACAAGCCTGCCTGTCAGTAACTTTTTTAGGGAAATGCTCCAAATTTGTTATTTGTTAGAAATTATTTGAAATTATGAAGAATCAAGAGAGTGACTATGAGAAAGAAAATGAGAAAGAGAGAGAGAGAGAGAGAGAGAGAGAGAGAGGGAGAGGGGGAGAGAATAGAAAGGGAGAAAGAGAGAGAGAGAAAGAGAGAGAGCAAGAGAGAGAGAGAGAGAAAGAGAGAGAAAGAGGGAGAGGGGGGGGGGATTTAGATATGACAATCCTAAATTTAGAAGTGACATAATTATATGGTTTTCACTTTGTCATTGATATGTCCTTCATGAGCAATTGTCTGCAAAATGGTTACAACAAAATATTTGTTCAATTTTACTCCTCCATGTTTGCACTGCTTAATAGGTTTTTTTTTTGTCAAACATCACAACAAATTAATTCTAGCCTCCACACATAATGTGGTCATTAATTCTGTCTCTTGTGTCTGCATGAGCACATAGGTTCTATGTAGAATATGATCCTTAACCTTCAATAATGGCGAAAATAGGGGCAGGGGCTCTGATCTAATATGTCACTTGTACAGTTATGAATCTGTACTTTTTGTGCTAGCTTTCATGTCAAAATTACATTAGAAAATTGCTTATTACTAAGGAGATGCAAGAAGTAATAGGCAATAAAACAATGAAGGAGGCGCGATAGCTCAGTTGGTAGAGCAGTGGTCTCGTAATCCAGTGACCCGGGTTCGAAACCAAGTTGATGCGCTAGTGCCTTTTGGTAATGCATTAATCCTCATTACCAGGTCCCTTGAGAGGACCTAAAGCCGTCGGCAGTCTGGTTGCTTACTTACAAGCATTTATGCTTTCTTAGCAGTCAGGTAAAATAACCACCACCACAACCAAGGGTTGTAACAGAGAGAGTTTATGAAGAGAAAGTAAAAGAATCATGAAAAGAGAAAGGAAAGAGATAGAGATTCTTTGCATCTCTAATGTTTCTTGCATTAGTGTACTTTATATATTTTACAAAAATGATGTATGTCGATAATAATCCATGTGTAAATTCATTATCAGACATAGACAAATCATAATTTTGTATATGCCTTACATTCCTACCTTGATTATCTGATGGTATTTATCTGTTTAATATTTATGCCATTCACAGAACAAAAATTGGCTGTGGAAATAGCCCTATGCCACATTTTACATACATTTCAGGTCACAAAAGTTAATGGTTCTACAATATCCAAGGACGAATTGGCAATTTAATGCATTAATACACTACACCTAGATATCTTGCCAAACTCATATTATTGTTAATGAACTTTCTTTCATTACTCATCAAAAATGTATAATTAATTACCAATCATAGAACTGACACTCTCACTTTATTTCAAAATAGCCTAAATGATTGCCTAAAAGATTTGGATACTTTTGGGGTATATCAGAACAGATAATGATAGGAGGATGGGGGATAAGATTCCCAATAGTGTGAAATGAAGACGAGGGCTGGGAAGAGGGATTGGATATTTGTTATTACTTTTTTTTTTTGTGAGGTTAGCAAAAAAGCCATTAGCATTCCAGCCATTTTTTAAATCAATTATTTTGAAATTTGTTTGTAGATATGTACATTTTATCACAGAAATAGAACCAACCAACCCACTTTCGTTTGTTTTTCTCTCACTCAGGACAACTATACATATCTACCACTAGTAGAGGATATACAAGCACAGAGATGGGTAACCCTTCCTTTGAGTGCTACAGGAGTTCTCCTTCTTTGAATGCTGCTGTGTCTAGAGGGAGGTATGTCTATGTATACAATGATGTGCTCCCACCGGTTAATGCAGCTAATGCTGATCCACCGCCCAGTGAGTTTTTTAATGCTGGTAATCCACCAATTCAAGTCTACCGAATAAATCTTGAGACCACTGATCACAGTTCGTACGGTGCCTTCTACTGTGCTGCATCCCTGGGTGGAGAACGCTCTGTTGTACCGACACTCTTCTTGAGATCTGATGGTAAATGGTATAATTTGTTATATTTCTCTGAATAGTAGATGTTAAAATACAAACATAACCATATAAATATTTCCCTGTCTCACTAAATGTTTACATTTTATAGCACAAATCTAAACCATTCATACATGTATGCATGTGTTCTTTAAAAATAGTTTAGAGACCTGTAGTAAAGCACAGACATATTAGGTTAGACCATCTACTGTATGTACTAAAAACATCCATATAAATTCCAAATTTGATGTACGATAGCAAAATAAGTAAGGAGTTAAAATGTTTCATGGTCCAAAATGAGTAGAGACCACAAGACATTTATCATATGAGAATAAGATTGGGAATAAACAGAACTATAGCATTAGAAAAAAGAAGTATTCGTTGGTGAGATATAACCCCCCCCCCCCCAACTAGAAATTGCACAGCTAGCACCTGATAATTTCACAGCACATTTTGTGAGTTTGACACCTTTTTTAATGTTGTCGTGGAGTCATGTATATTTTTTGTCAGCCAGAAAATGGAGAATGATTATAGTTTTTGTTAAAGACAAACAGTAACATTTATTTTCTGAATTGTTTTTATATTTTTGTTCATTATTATGATTGATCTGTTTTATTTGAATTTTTGTTCAAATTAAAGCCTTAAATGGCAGGACTCATGAACCAAACAAGCAATTAAGTCTATAAACTATAGGATTTGCAAGCATGAATGAAAAACATGTGAATTTAAATGTATTTTGAGTAATTATTTTGCATTTGAGTATATGAGGGTAAATGATGATCATGAAAGGCTTCCTATTTACTAGCTATCCCTGTTCAGATATTAATAACTTATTCATGTATATATTTATGAACAAACAAAAATGTGCAGTTTTTTAACTAATGTTCTCATAGTGATTTGAGAGGCATTTGCAACATTTCCAGAAATCACCTGCTCTGCAACCAAACCCTTGAGGGAAGAGAATATCACGAGCGACTATTTTTTATACTACATCCGCAATGAGTAATATATTTAGCATTATTGAGAAGGACATTGATGCCCAAGACTTTTTAATCCAGCAAATAAGTATATAAAGTGTTCAATTTGTGTTTAAAAACAAGTTTAAAGGACTATTTGGACTAAAACACTAACTTTATTCTTCTTAATTAAATGGAATATTTGCACATTCACTACATTTATACAGAATGATATGGAAGCCTTGTGGTGTTGAAGTGAAGTCTAAAAGTAATTATAAATTTGATTTTCTTTTGACGTTGTGAATATATGGTATACTTAAACAATCCACAAACTTATTATTTATTTGTTTGTTCTTTCAGCTAAGTTTGTGCCCACCAGTGGCAGGTTTTCAAAGACTGTCAACAAGGGGGATGTGGACGTTACGGTTGATTTTATTGAGGTTACTCCTAGTGAGACGGAAAAGAACTGGAGGTTTAATGGTACAACTAATATGACTGTAACTATTTCTGCTGGAACGATCTTTACGGAATTGACTGTCTACACAATCATAGGAGAGGTTGATACCTCAAATGGTGGTGTTTATGAGCTTCATTTGATGGGTGAGAGGGGACAAGCAAGAGCTGGACTACTCCGATTAATTGTGAGAGGTAGGTCACATGTAAGAACATAATAAAGAAGATATTTAGATGATTAGAAATGTGAATATTGTCATGATATATTGAAAGATTAATTAGATCAATATAAATACAAAAAGGTAGGCAGACAGATAGGGATTAAGCTATGAGAAGAGGGAGAATACACATTAAAAAAAATATTATGATGAATTCATTCTAAAAGCACTAAACTTAAAGGAAAATGAATATAACCACAACTGTTATTTCCCTATTCTTGAGTATTCAATACCATGTCTGCAGTAACTTAGGACGGACCCCATGTGACGTACAGTATATGTGCAACAAATATTGATGAAAGAATACAAATTTGAGTACAAATACCCATACATTATATGGCATTCTGTCATCAATATTTGCTCCAAATTGTTTGAAAATCCTTGCAGAAGTGTGTGTTAAATGACAATATGACATCACCTTTCACATTATTATACATCATTATCAAGGAATTAATTCCTGCCAGGATCCTATTTACCTTATCTGGGTTGAGTGTGGCAAATGCAGATGAATGTCTTGCCAAAGGATATTGGTACCATGGCAGGCCTTGAACCGCAAACTATGTGATCCACAGTCCGATGATGTACATAAAATGGCACCTTCACATTTCTTTTATGCGTTTGTACAGTAAGTCAGAATATCTCAGATGGATACACGGGTATCCAGACACCTACCCCCTGGACATAGACTCCCCGGATAACCACTCCCAGTATACTACCCCTAGGACAACTCCCCCTAGGACAATTACCCCCGGACAACTACCCCCTAGGACAACTACCCCCCGGACAATTACCCCCTCTAGGATAAAAAAACCTGCACAACCACCCTCCAGACAACTACCCCCTAGGATAGTTGTCCGAGGGGTAGTTGTCCTAGAGGATTGTTGTCGTAGGGGTAGTTGTCTGGGGGTAGTTGTCCTGGGGTAGTTGTCCTAGGGGGTAGTCATCCTAGAGGGTGGTTGTCCTAGGTTGTAGTTTTCCTAGGTGGTAGTTGTCCTAGGGGGTAATTGACTGGGGGTCATTATCCGGGGGTGGAAGTCCAGGGGGTAGGTGTCCTACAACCAGATACACAAGGTAACCATTCATTGTTTTCATATTTGTCAGCATGTCCTGCCGGTCGCTATGATGAATCCAGTGGATGCACCCAGATATGTCCATCATGTTACAATGGAGGAATCTGTCATGATCAAACAGGGATATGCATCTGTCCTCCAGGATTCCAGGGAGATGGATGTGAAATGGGTAAGAGTATACCCAGTGACCTTTAATAGAATTTACTTTTCATTTACCTGTCATATCAACAGGGCTTGTCATTAACAATTGCTTGGGCCTTGGGGCAGAGGACAACCAAAGTAAAATACACGTACCACACAACTAAAATTACCAACATGGGAGATTATGGTGTAATCTACCAACAAAATATGAAAGTTCAGGCATTCTGACATTGACTACCATAGATTCAGTTAACAACTTACCCAAGTTTTATCAATTTTATGTGAAAAATTGATTTATTCTCGATTTATGTTTCTTGAGAATGTGACTTACTACTGCTTTACTACATGTAATGGTAATCAAGAAAGGTACTATTTCAAACAGTAAATCATTCTTACTTGAGTTATAAAAAACACAATTAAAACGTACCATCAAATAAATAATGTATTTTTTAACTGTATTTCAATGGTAACAAGGATGTAATTCTCATGAAATATTGATGTTTGTATTAAATTTGGTAGCCAATTTCTAGAAATCAGACAAAGCATAATGAAACCAAGTATTTCAGTGATCACCAAGCCCTGCCTCTATACACCTTACACCCTATCATAGGGTTCCAGGCAAAGATAACTCCTGACCTTGTCCAGACTAACCTTTGGTGTTTGTGTGTGTGGGGGAGGGGGGGGGGGGGGGTGGCGGTGATCCAGAATGCATTTTTTACAGTCTGTATGCATGAGCCCTATTTTACAAATTTCAAAATTGTTGGGGTCCAGACTAGATTTGGGGGTCCATGTATCCTGGGCACCTGTAAGTGTCAGGCCCTGCAGGCTTTTGTCATTGGTCCCATCTTCTCATGTTGTGACCCACTGTCTTTAGATCCCATCAGGCTTATATTATATATCATATTGTGGTATGTAATATACACTTGAAAGAATATTATAATTTGTACAACATATTGATTGATCATCCTTAACCATATCATAACGGTAACAGAATCCTACTAATCTAATCATAAATCTAACTCACAATTGTGTGTGCTTCTGTGCAATATAAAGGAAGATTATAGGTAGGATCAACAGAAACAAATTGGTCCAAATTCAAAATTGTGCCTGTAGATCTGTAATTATTGGGGAAAAGTATACTTTCTGCTCTTGATGGTGTTGTTCATATATTCCAATTAATATTCAATTGTATTTTTCATGTACTCTCCCAGCACCTTGAGCATTTTGGGTAATGGATATGAGCTTTATAGGTACTCAGTATTATTTAGTAGGAGTAGTAGAAGGAGTAGTGGTATGTTGTATATAATAACATTTTCGTGTATTTATAGATTACAAATTATCAATATTTATCTTCTTTATCTGTTGCCTACGTGTAGCATGCGGTGGGAATCGCTATGGTCGTAATTGCGAGTACAGATGTGACTACGAGATTGCAGATGAAAGAACAGCATGTAGTGGACTTCAGGTTTGTGTGCCCGATCCCTATGGATGTTCATGTACACCAGGATACAAAGGATTGGACTGTACTACAGGTATGGAACCAATAGAAGGAAGTGAAGTACTGTCAATTGGGTTATTGTCATGGAACATTGAATCTTCACTCATTTGGCACAAATGGGAATTAGCACACAAACATCAAATATGAATTTGTAACTATTTATAGCTCATTTTTCTATGACTCTAATCATTACCTGTCAAGGTGGACTATACTGCTGTTCTCTTCAAATACCCTTTTCCATTTATTCTTCCCTGCTCTCTTTCTCTTTACCCATCTTCCCTCTTTACTTCCTTTTTACCTATCCAAAGCATCTCTCTTTCTATCTCTCTTTCTCTCTCTCTCTCTCTCTCTCTCTCTCTCTCTCTCTCTCTCTCACTGACTCTAGTTTACCCCCCTCGGTCATCAAAATACTCCAAGTTACTTACCACATCGTTTTCATAGGATTAAATTAATAACAATAAAACACAAGTATACTTTTTTTTTTTTTCATTTCATTTCATTTATTTTCCATAAAAATTCAAAATAAAATACATAATAAATTAACAGCAAAATCGGAAGGACCCCAAGAAAAGCAAAGCTTGTGAGAATGGGGCCCTGTACAAAAGTAATCATACAAGCAAATTATTATAACAAATATTGTAAAACTTATCAAAACAAACATACACTCACCCTCATTCATTCACATGCACACAGACACACCAACACACATTATTTATATCTATGTAACTAATATTCCTGAAATGTTAATTACCTCATATTGAAGTATATATGATATAGGTACAACCGTACTACTGGTACATATTTTATGTTATGCCCTGCTTTGGCAAATCCACTGCCCTGGGCCATATATGCTATCTGTGATATATCTCTGTTCATATATGATCTATTTGTACCACTGTCTATTTTGGGTATGAAATAAATGCTAAAGCTTAACACATCAGAAAATGTAAATGATTGCAGTATATAAATATATATACAACAGGGCTCTACACTAATTCTTTTAGAAGGGGGTCCAGATTAAATGTTTTTTAGTCTGTAGATGAGCCCTATGTACACATTTTGACATATTGGTCTGTAGCTAAATATTTTATAATGATCTACAAAATTGCACAATAGATATTTACCTTTACGAAAAAAGAATATGACAACACAGCAGGGGTTTACTTAATGTGGTTCTTAAAAATTTGTTCTCTCATAACAAAAATCTATCAGTATGTGATCAAGGTAAGTTTGGAGCTAGTTGTACAGAGACCTGTCACTGTGTATCAGAAGAGTGTGATCGATTTACTGGAGTCTGTACAGGAAGCTCTACTGAATGTGAACCAGGATGGACAGGGACCAACTGCCAAGGTCAGTCTAACAATCTATCAGTGTTGCCAACTTAAATAGAAGCTTGAGTTCTGGGGAGAGGTGAAAAATAATTGGTGACTGTTTTCATTGTTATTATGCAAGTGTGGAAGAACATCAGAGAAAAAAATTTCCCTGCAAAGCATGACTCTTCAAATGACTTTGTATTCTAAATATGAGGACCACATTTTTACGCCACATATGTTGTGTAGTAAATATTTCTGTGTACAGTGTTTGTTACTTTTACCAAGACTGGGCCAAAGTTCTTATCATTTTGATGATTCCAGAACCTTGTAGTACACACCGATACTAATATGCCAAATAATCCACTTTTTGTGATCGATTCCGCATTGTTTCTTTCACAATGCAATCGCATGACCAGAACTCAACTTTATCTTTAAGTATTGATTATAGTTTTGCTAGTTTTGTTGTCTGGTGTACATGTTTGTGCAATGTATTTTGGTTCTTGACATTACTTTGCTTTGATTTGATTTGAACTGGTTTATCGATTAAAACACAAACATTCAAAATAGCAGCTAGAGGCTGAAACAAATTGATATTACAACAGATTTTAGAAATATATTACATTGAAAATTGGTTCGATGAAGTACAGTAATATGCACAGTTCACAAAATCAACAAGTGAATGGAAATTAAAAGGACAGACGAGATACAGCTTGCAATAGAAGAAGAAGGAGAAAAGACATGTTTGGATAGACATTGAAGTAATAACAACATAATTGCAATCAATGATGAGAGGTATTAATTGGAACAAACAAATTGTGCAAGACATTAAATACAATTAAAAAATATCGATGAGTATTGCAATTGATGAGTTATAGTGGTAATATAATACAGATATATACTGATCTATACAGTATTAAAGGTATCTTTTTTTTCTGAACATAAAAATGGGAATTTTCAGGTGTGTAGTGTGATGAAGTGACTTGCTCATCTTAAAAGACAGATAATATAGTTTGTGTTTAGTATGCAGTAAATCTATTCTCTCACCTAATGTTTTGTGCTTGGTTGCAGATAATTTATTTCAATTATTGTTATATTTCAGAATGCATGGTTGGTAGATATGGACCTAATTGTGAGCGTAAGTATAATTGCAATATTACTGGTATACAAATATTGCATGCTCCAGCGTTCAAAATAACACAAATATACATGCATACTGTGTTGAAAAAAGAATGAACTAAGCTTGAGCAGAGCTTCTTTTTCATAAATACCCCCCTCTATGCACAAGTCTGTCATCATGATCAATTACCAGTTTGTGTTCAAACCATATAGTAAAGTTTATATTCATTCAATGAAACATGCGCACATTGCAAATTTATTGCAAATAAGCAGAAGCAATTTAAATTCCAAGTGAAAATTAGCATCTGTTAATTTTAGTGGAAAACAAGATACAATTATTGAATGTCTCACTATAAAAACAAATATGTCAAGATAATATTAAATGTTGCAAGGTTTGAAGTTGTAGACATAACTACAATCAGCCTTGAAATTGAACAGCTAATAATATAGGTCATAAGTATTAGTCTAAATGTATATATAATTGTTTAAATTGGCAGTCTGGTAGTGATATACATGGACCTGCTGGCCTGGGAAGGTAAATAGAATGACTTTCTCCTGAAAACATTATCTTACATAACTGCATCAGTTTAACTATCTTTCATTTTCATTTGATAGCTTTCACAATTAGTTATGAAAAGACCAACAAGGGAAACCGCGCCAATTTTGTCTGTAGCCTGGAAGGTGGAAATCTCATCTCCACAGCTCCAGTGGTCAATCTCTACAGGAAATTCGGCAGTGGAAATTATACACAAGAAAACATAGTACACAATGGAAAGGGATTACCCCCGAATGAAAAGTTTCTGTTTCTCGTGCGTGATGTGAAAGTTGGAGAATTGTTTGTCTGCGCTCTCTCTGATGTGAACAACTTCTTTAGTGACACTATGACTACCGATGGGGAATTTAGTAAGTTGATGGATGTAGTTTTGTAATATACAAACACATTACTATGATTTAATGATCTAATACAACAAAATTATCAGGGAATCTTCCCCCCCCCCCCCCCCCCCCCCACCATCACTGTTCCTCATGATACTGTCATTGGCAGACCGACACCTTTATAAAATAAATATGATAATAAAAGTAAGTTTTGTTTAATTCAGTGATTTTTAGTTATGTACAGCATTACCAGAACTCTTTTATACTCACAATTTTTAACAAAAAATAAATGATGATGATTGTGTAGGATGATTATTTTAATCTTTTGACTTCTTTATTCTCCCATTCCCATAGACTTAAAGGTAATGCAAATAAAGTTTTGGGAAATTTTGAAAATTGGATGAATTCTTTAAAGTTTTGATATATTTGGATGCCCCTGTGGATGTATTATAATCACCACAAAATTTAGCCCCTCAAAGTCTTCTGCTTTCGAGCAAATTGAATAATCCAAATTTACCGGTGCTCCCGGTAATTTTTTTGATATTTCAAATAGCACCTAAGGCCATGCCATGGTAGCTGCGACCATGAAAATCTCAGAATATGCAGTTCTGATATATAATTTCGAAACAGGAATAGCAAATTGGTTGATTGTAGTCAAGAAACATTATTTTAAAGCTAAAGTAATATCAGTCTTTAGAGGGAGCTATACAACATAAAGAGTTTATTATTTACAATTTTACCACTTTAGACTCGATTTTAACCACGACAACAATCATTAAATATTGGAAAATTGCATATGCTTCCAATATGTTCATTTGAACCAAATTCATGGCCCAATACCAAAACTTTGTATTACCTTTAACACAAGGACCAGCTGGTTGCAGTATACTTACTTTACTTACTTTACTTTAATCCATCGATGTTGGTAGGACAGAGCCTGTTCATCGATCGATTGAATTCCTTTGCATCAATACTTCTGTTTGTAGTGGTTTCGTGTCGAGGTGTGTGTGTGGAGGGTGGAATAGCTCTGCATTCTTCTATTAACTTTCAAAGTCATATACTGAAGGTGATTTCTTCCAATAGTTATCGAGTTTGATTTTGAAGGCATTTACAGATGGGGCATTAACCACTTCTTCAGATAGGCTATTCCATGTGTCCACTACTCTATTCGAGAAAAAGAATTTCCTGATGTCGAGATGTGCAAATGTCTTCTCTAGTTTCAGAGTATGGCCTCATGTTCTGTGTTCCTTGCATAAATGTAGTAGGTTTGTCTGAGTGGTGTATAAGCCATGGAGGTACTTGTAAACGTCAATCATATCTCCTCTCTTTCTGCGATGGGCAAGAGACGGTAGCTTCAGGTATCTCAGACGTGTTTCATATGGAAGATTCTTCAGACTAGGCACCATCTTTGTGCCTAGGTTAATTTAAATACTGGTTTCAGAGGTCCGGCATCAAACTCTGTATAAGCTTGTTGTGAGCTGCTTCCAGATATTTGTGACTGAAGAAAGCCTTGCTGGTATTCTTGTCGGAAAAAAGGAGAAATACTTTTTCAAATTTTGTCAAAGTAGCCTGTTGAATTTAAGAAATATTTGCCCAATACTCTGCTATTTATCTAACACGATTTGAAATAACCATTTGAATTCAGGGATACTTTGTTTCTTACATCTTCCCTATTTCATTTGGTTTTATCTCACTGTAGTCCAGCCAGAACTCCCTAGTGCACCTGTCGTGAGCGGAGCAACCAATGATTCAATCACTCTGATGTGGGATGCCTGGGATGCATCAACAGATATAGGGGATCCTCCTCTTATGCAGTATCGTGTCTACTACATGAACAACTCACAAGAAGAAGAGGTTAGGAGGTCTGACCGTCTAGCACCATCTGAAACAGTGACTGGTCTAAGTCCAGATACAGACTACGTATTTGGTGTAGCAGCAGTGAGACCTGGAGCAGGAGGCCAAGGGCGCATATTGGAGGTAGTAGGGACCACCCAATGTTCACGTAAGTTCTTGTTTAATATGATCTCAGATTTTAAAAATGCTTTCTTTAGTAATCAAGGTATCAAAAGGTATTAAATACAACATGATTTTAGATATGTGACTTGATACTACACTGCATCTTTCCTTGAAATTTATTCTTTTATGTGTGCATCCATTTTTCATTTAAACTGAAAAGAATATCAACTAATAATATATCAATGAAATTCTTCGTCTGATTTTGTATGCATCAACAATTTATATTAAAAAGATATTCACTAATACAAAGTGAAATACCAGTAATTTGAGTGAATTTATTTATAATGACATTTAAACATCTATAGTCTCATACTGAAAGCCTATTTATATCAATATGATTGTCTCCAAAAAAATATTACTAGATTCATCTTTCACATGTAGGTTAACACACAGCCAGTGGCGTATGCAGGATTTTTTCAAGGGAGTGTTTTAAAATTTGAAAATCGCGACAAAAATTTCGCAACGACTCAGCCAGCCGCTGATTAAGCGGGGGGCCGGGAAGGGGGGTTTGGGGAAGTCGTCAGATATGTTGTTCAGTGCTTGGGGGGGGGGGGGGGGGGGGGGGGGGGGGAGGAAGGAACACTTTGAGCACAAAAAAAATATTTAAAAAGTATATTTGTTTATTTTACAATCAAAACATTTTTGAGGGGGGGGGGGGGGGGGTTTAACCCCCAAACCCCTCGCTGCGTACGCGTCTGTACACAGCTGTGCATTAAACTCTTCAGTACCATAAATTGACCAGTTTGTACATAGAAATGATCATTCAGGCAGTTTTAACTGCCAACAATTTTGACAAAAAAACTAGAATATTTTGTCTCATTTTCTTGAATTCAAAACAGGCTCATGACTTGTCATACTTGTCAATGAGATATTATTTTTGTATTGACAAACAATTGAAAACCAAACCATGATGAAAATTTACCTCATAAAATCTTAGATGCAACTAAGTACATCATCTAAACTTCATGGCAATGTATTGGATTAAATATTGTCCAGTGCAATAAACCACTTGATAAAGAATTAAGAATGTTTTAATATAACAAATATTTGATCTTATCTTTTATTGTGCGTGTAGCTCCTAGTGAAGGACCGTCATCTGTTAACGTCACTAATGGGACTACACCTGGAGAATTCTTGGTATCTTGGGAGGTAAGCTAATTGTTATTCCAGATGTGTTGAGCACGAGTTGTTTAATCTTTTGACTCGAAATGTGAAGGTTGCTGGTTCAAGCTCCGGTAAGACATTTATCAACATTTGCCATTCTCAACCCAGGTGTCAAATTAAACCGGGTAGGAAGGAATTCCTTGAATGCTGGGAGCTCTACGATTGGTAAACTAGCTAACTAGAACCTGAACCTGAAATTTTTCAATTATGATTTTTACAACATTTTAGACCTTTTAAAAGTTAAGAGATTTTCACCTCCCAAACCCTGCAGCAGCAAATTCAGTACTCAGGAATTTTAATGGAGTATAGTGTCAATCAGGATACAGCTATATTTTGTCTCCCTGGAAGGGATGTGGGAAAACCATTAAGCTTTTTTCCATATGGAATATTGTATTCTTTATGTAACAATTAAACTAAAAACTATGATTTACAGTTTTTTAATTTTGTAAGGCTTTCATATTTCATCCCTTATAGAATCCTCCATCCAATAGTTCTAGCTGTGGCAGTGGAGAGGGAGGAATTCGCATCTACTTCACCCGGTCTGACATCCCGTCTGGGATCTCAAAGAGGGCGGCCGACCCCAATGAGAACTCTGTTGATATTCCCTTTGATCCCCCAATGTCTGAACACACCCTGACCCTTGAACCGTACTCCCAGTATCTCATCCAGGTTGTAGTCTACAATAAAGACTCTGAGACGCCAAGGGGAGAGGGCTTTACACAGACCACAGAGGAAATGCGTAAGAGGATAATACAGCAGAATTTGTATAAATAGTCATGAAATGAGAATGCTTGTATGTGAAGTAATAGAATGAAATTACATTCACAAATAATTGTCCAAATATAATGATACTGCAAGAGGTATGCATGTCTATTAATATATTTTAAAGTTTAAATAAGATCATTTCTAACCATTGTGAAACTGAAAAGGGGCAATTTTGCTTGTCTCTTTCTAGAAATGTAAAGGTTTTGTTAGATCTTACAATAAGATCACATCATTGTCTGTGTATCTTTCTATGTTTTATGATTACTAGTATGTTGTTTGTTGTGCCTGTGTTCTTGTAGTCTTGCATAGACCTGAAGGGGAAACTTGAGCTAGAGTGTTTGTGAATCTAAAATATAAATACAAAACAATGATTCAACAAGTGAGTAGATAAGTATGGAAGGCAGCATTTAGCAACATGACCATGTGACTGTAATTTCTGTTTTAGAAAACATTATAGCAAATTATATTTTGAAGTGAGAAGTCCCAAGACCAATTTTCAAGTCTTAAATCTGGTTATGAATTGAGATATATATCACTCATATAACATCTGACAACTCTAGCCTCTTGGATTTGTCTTTGCCTCAAATCAAAATGAATAAAAAAAAGGTTTTGAACTGCATAACCAGTTTATTTCAAACTATAAAACATAATACAACAAGATTTATACTGCCACAAATCCAGTAATTAGATTTAGGATTTTATGACTTTCGAGCATGTGCTTTAAAGGGAAAGTCCACCCCTAAAATAAATTTGTTTCGATAGAGGCAGAATAATAAGAAAATCAGGTGAGTGAAAGTTTGAGCAAATTCTGAATGAAAATAAGAAAGTTATGAATTATTGAAGTTGTGATCAATCAAATACAAATTGGCAACTCTGTGACTTATTATACGAGCTCTCCTTCATTTGCTTTGTGCATAATATTCCATAAAATCATGTTTTCTTCGTTATTGATGACGGAATATATATTTGTTCCTTGCAGGGGGAGTATAGAAACATATTTGCAATTATTATATTTAGGGTGCATGTATGGTTGAAATTTTTCTTGAGGGAAAATGAAAATTTCAGATTTTTTTAGTACTGAGCAAATGGAAGTTGAGCTCGCATAATACGTCATAGAGTTGCCAATTTGTGTTTGATTGATCACAACTTAAAAAATCCTAACTTCCTTATTTTTAATCGGAATTTGCTCAAACTTTCACTGACTTGTTTCTCTCATTTTTCTACTCCTATTAAAACTAACTTAATTTCAGGGTGGACTTCCCCTTTAATCAAATAATTTCCATACTTCTTTTCAATGTTTTTTGTTTTCGTATTTGTAGTTGCCCCTGCGCCCACTGTAAGCGTTGAAGCGACCTCTGAAACTGTAATTGTGCGCTGGGATGCTGCTAGCCCTGCTCACCTCAATGGAGATGTACAGGGATACCAACTAAGATACACCCAGACAAAACCTGAACGACTTGATCCAGTAGTTGTTGATGTTATGGGTAACAAGTATGAGATTACCGACGGAGTGACAAAAGACAGTGAATTTGAAATCGAGGTAAAGTTCCTGCGTGCTGTCTCAAAGTAAAGGAAAATAATGATAAACGTAATACTTGACTTGTTGAGGGCCATGGACAACAACAATTGATTGCCTCAAAATACAAACAAGTCATTATTAGAATAACTGATTAAATTGTATGCAATTGTATGAATTAGGTAAATTCAACTTGTTCGTGGTAGTACCATTGCTTGCAATCCAATATTGTTTACTGTCTGAATAAGAGGCCATACAAGTTATGTATTGTCAAGTCTTCTTGTGGACAGCTTGGTGGTATGTTGGTTTACATTAAGTGAGGTTTTTTTTATGTTAATATATTCCAGATGCCTGGAATGATTGATATGAATTTTAATACATTTTTTAAATTTCATCCCCTTTTCATCCCTCTTTTTTTCAGGTTCGAGTTTTGAATGGAGCTGGATACGGTGAATGGTCACCTTTAAAGACTTCATTGCCGGGTAAAAAAAAAAGAATTTATGATACAAAAATGAAATGGTCATCATGTCTTGGTAAAGTAACAATCACTGACACAGAAAGATGTATATGGGACAACACACATGGTGTCGGGGCTAGTACTTCCCTGATTTCCTTATCTTTCTATGCTCATTACTCAGCCAGTATACATTTTCTTCCAAAATTGTTTGGCACATGACATTTATTTGTAATCTTGAACATTCACATGTAAGTTTCGTTAGATTCTGTGAGAATTTATTTTCCTTTTTTACCAGAACTCAAGTTTATCTTTAATAATTTCTCTTTAAAAAGTTTTAATAACTTATAATGTCAATGTTTATGCAATGTTTCCTCCTTCTTTCTCTATTTTCTCTATGTTCCTATTTTTCTTGTAATTTTGATTTACCGGTAAATTTTGTAGCAAAATTATTGTTACTTTGTATATTTTGTGAGGATAATTTTTAACGAGCAATTTATGTGCTTTTCATGATCCTCCCCCTTTAGAAATCTCATTGTACATGCATATGTTTGTATTTTGAATATTATATATCATAGTTTTTATCCTGACAGGGAAACAAAATAGCAATAACCTAGTAATATAATATGGCTTTGATCAGACACAATGATACCTTCAATGATAATAATTGTCATAATGTATGGAACAAATATTACCAAATAGCTTTGACCTGCCCCTATACATACTCTTACATAGAGTTTTAGCCCCTCTGTACAAAGCGGTTAACCTGGGAGTCTGTTTTCATTTACAGAAGTATTATGTGCTCATGGGTAGAAATCCCTCTTCAAACATGAGGGGAACACGTGCATCTAAAGTTTTCTACCAAGAAAAAAAGAGGCCTTCAGGTTTTAGAGTTTATTATTGAATGGTTTATTAGAAATACTGAAATAGCAGCCCGAGAGCTGCTATAGGGGGTGCGGGGTGCGATATATAGGTACAAATTTGAATGGGGATGGTTAATACCTGTCTGAGTCAATGTGGGTGATTTCAAGGAATATATGTCATTAAACTTACTTGTTTAAATTTTTACTTTACTATATAGATACCGGTACTGCTGCATCCAATGTTCCCCTCATCGCTGGTATCGTGATAGGAATAATCGTTGTTATTCTTCTCATCATCATCATTGTCATGGCTCTGCGAGCAAGGTAACTACATGCTGCTTCAGCAGTTATTCAGAGCATTAAAAGTATGGTCCTAATAAGAGTCATGACTCGTCCTTTGTAACCCTAAGTGTTGATGATGGTTTTCTGGAGTGTTCTGTCTCGAGCCAAACAATGGGCTGAGCTTCCGTATGCCTTGTCTTCTAATTGGCCTTCAGTGAATCCTTGCATAATTATCTTTTTAATGCTATTATCATGCGGTCTACAAATGTGGCCTAAGTAATTCAATTCGCTACAACTATTGACAGAGGGCAGTGTGTTCTCAGATTCAATTCCTAACAAGTTCATTGGTAAATTATAGATATTTTAACATGTTTGTTGCATTTCATATATTTATTGGTTTTACATATATATGGGCCTACATAATTTCTTCAACAAGTGACTTTCCATTTGATTCTTTTGTTTTATTCTACAGCAAAAGAAAGAGAGAAAAGAAGATAGCGGGAATGAATTCAACTGAGCTTGTGGACAATGTTCTCTATGAGTCCAATCTACCACTTGATCATCAGAACAGCAACAATGCTGGTAGGTTGAAAGCAATTATTTGGTTTTTACCTTCACTGCATGTGAGGGAGGATGGAATGATTAATATATGTAATTTTCAATAATTTATGTGATAAAATGTTTCACAAAGTCATTAAGTTGTCTTATGCTCTTTGATGATGTATGGTCAAAATAAATTGTAAACTTATACTTCTTTCAGTGCAGTACAGACCACCTTGATGTTGGTGTATTGTAGTATTTGATATTGTATTATTCTATGAGAGATTCCTTTATATCACTTTTTTCTGCAATCCAGCACGTATCAACGACAAGCCGATAGTCCGTGATCCAGCAGAGACCGAGTATGCCTACATCAGCCATGAGAGTAACTCTCTTCTAAACGACGACTTGAACCTTGACATGGCTATCAAAAAAGACACAACGTACGAAGTCGCTTTGGAGACCCCGATTGCGTCCAATGGGAAGAGTCAGACACTGCCGTTGCTTTCAGGAGACATCACTTTAGACGCTCTCAATGCGCTCTATGCTAAACCTGAGAAGCGATCTCATGTGGTCTCGGTACCCAGTCTGTTGGCCCCTACGGTGAAGGAAGCAGGGACGGATACAACGGAAGGAGATATCTACGAGAATGTGAGCCTTCCTGGATCCATCGCCGTGGTCAACCTTGTGGAACATGTGGAGAAGAAGAAAGCCCAAGATCAAGATGGATTTGCTCATGAATTTGGTGTAAGTATGACTATCAGTATGCAGGACCCTTTTCTACATAGGGTCAGAATGTTAGAAGGACTCGTTAAGCCTCTTTCAGATATCAACTGTAAAAACTGTGTTTTTAAATGATGACGTTAAAGGGACTTTGTAACATTGTTCAGATGAGAGATAGTGGTGCTAAGGTAATGACTTCAATGCTGGATGTACAATTAAAGATAATCTGAAAATTTTAGTGAAAACGGATCTCTATTCATGGTACAATTTGGGAAAAACTGATCTTATCGATTCCTTAATTCTCCCAACTATATTATTCTACTTCTATTCTGCTACTTGTCAAAGCCTGTTCAGCATCAAGACAAGGACAATTAAATTACATTTTAGGTCAATGTAAATCGTCACAAAGCACTAAAATGGCTCAACATTCCACTCCAGACAGTTAAGTGTTGACAGATTTTTATAGCCTGTTTTATGTATTTTTCTCATGGAAAAACGGTTGGGAAAATTCAAAAAATGGTTGGGAGAATTTACTGTTAATCACTGTTAGAGGGTGCCTCACATCGACGCCTTCAAAGAAAACCATAGATATCTTTGTGGTTTGAGAATTTGTTCAGGATTGTTTGCATGTCAGAGGGTTAGTATAGTAGAAGGAATATAGTAAGTAACATTTTATACGAAAATTAAGCAATTTTTTTCATCAACCTTCAACAATGTTACCGAGTCACTTTAAGTATACACTTCACATTTCTGTATCAATCACACAGAGTTAAGTGAATATGCATTTGATCTTTGTTGAGTGCAGTTACCATTCTTTCACACACAAGATGACTGGGTGGTTTGCAGCATCATATCTGATTGAGCCTTATCTGTGTTTGATATGACCCTCAAGTCAGGAACAAGGTTCATGCTTCATCCATATTTAAAAGGCTAATGTTAATATTTTGTATGATATTGTATGATATTTAATCCAAAATTAGATCAATCTGGTTTTAGAAAGACACAGAAGATTTATTGGGAGGCAAGTTTTTGTTCATGAATAATATATGCATTGTTCACCTACATCTATCTCTAGATGGTTTTAGGAATTAGGCCCTTGACTCTTACATGTGTTTGAACAGTGGGTGATAACTGTAGTCCTGCTTCAAAAGTTGTGTTAAATTCTTCCAAAGGGGCCTAAGTCCTGTGAAATTAAAAAAAAAAATGATAAGTTGAAGCTTCCTCAAGTATACCCCCCCCCCCATAGAGTGATATTGCAATTGAATCTGTCAACTGAATATACCAACAATTTGACTTTAAAAGTCACAATATGACTCTAAAAAACCAAGCCAATGTGCCCTTTGTCAAGGCATTAATCCTCAAGATCAAGTCCCCCAAGTTACTTACTCACAAGCATAGACATGCTTCCTTAGCACTCTGGTACAAAAATCATTAAAAATCTGTAATTTGTTTTAAATTTCATTGTTAGATATATTCTTTAAATTCTTTAATACACTCCAGCAAAAATGTGAGATTTATTGTAATATGTATTTCAAAAAGAAAATTCTCTTTTGCTGTATTTTGCATTCATTACAAAATTTTGATTAAAACTATTTTCTATAAATTAATTTATGATCCTTTTTTTGAATTTCAGTTATTGCCTTCAGATGATGGTATCGCCAAAACAGTTGCTATGAAACCGGAAAACAAAGCCAAGAATCGATTCAAAAACATTGTTGCATGTGAGTTTATTTTTGCTTTGACATATAAAATTATGAGTGTTAATGAGATGTACATGTAAATGTACAAATGTATGTATCAACTATCAATCTAATACTGTGATATTTCCCACTCCCATAAATCCTAGCTGTTCTTACGGCATTGGTATTTTCACAATAATTAAATGCAATCAATGGCGAAGCCCTTTGGTTTATACCTGTTCTTAAAACACTACAGGGAAAATGACGACTGCCTCAAATGTAATATATCGATGTGTTGTATTTTATATATGACAGTGAAATTTTGTAAGAATTTATGATCATTTCAACTCAAGATGTAATTATTAATGTTTTATCTTACTTCCACGATAATTCTTTAAAATAAAAAAAATTATATTACAAAGCGAGAGCTGAGGTGATAATTTACAAATCACATTGGAATCACTTTTAAATTGCATCAAGAAATAATTTCACAATGTATGTCTGTGACAGAACAGCTGAATACTATTATTATTAATCACTTTTAAAAATGCAAGAGAGATAATATTTGAATAAATGATTGAACTGTTTCTTTTCTTGATTTCCAGTTGATCATTCCAGAGTCGTCCTCGAGACGTTGAAAGATGATCCTCACTCTGACTACTACAATGCTAATTACATACGGGTCAGTCGCATTTCCTATCACAAAAGTATAGTTTGAAAGGACTAAATAGGTAATCCTTATCAATATTTTGGTACTTATATACACAAATTAAACTTCCCATACCTTTTGCCTTTGCCAGTACTATGCGATGTGCAAGATTAAGCCCACCATGGTACTACATAATGTTCCTTTTGAGTGAAGAAAGGGTAGACACATTATAGAGAATATTATAAGAAGAGAAAAAGAAGAAACAGAAGGGGACTGTAAAGAGCGAGAAATATAGAGTGAGAGAGAGGGAGAGGGGGAGAGATAAAGATAGAGATAGAGAGTGGGAGAGAGAGGGAGAGAGAGAGAGAGAGAGAGAGAGGGAAGAGAGAGAGAAAGAGAGAGGGAGGGAAGAGAGAGAGAGAGAGAGAGAGAGAGAGATAGAGAGAGGGAGGAAAGGGTAGAGAGAGGGAGAGGGGAGGTTAGAGAGACCAAATACCAAAGAGAATGAGAAGTGAGAGGTAGAAATATATGAAATGTAGAGAATCAAACTAGAGGCTAACTTGGAATCTGATAATGTTTTCTTATTTTCAACAGGATGACAAGGGGAAGAAGACATTTATTGCTGCCCAAGGTATGTTTAAAGACATCATCTTCAAAATATGAAGATTATCTTTACTGAAGATTGTAATATTTGGGTTCATTCAAAATTGGTAAAATGGTATTACAAATCTTTTGTGCCTATTACTATGTACATATATGTTAATCTGAAATAAGATCAATATGTTTTTTAGAAAGACACAGAAGATTTAATGGGAGAAAGCTTTTCGTTCAGGAATAATATATGCATTCATCACCTACATGTTTAAACATTTTGATTGAAATATTTCCTTAATGATCCTTCATTTCATAATGCTCTTTGTATTTCTGTCTACTCTCAGCCCCCAACACTGCAAGCATCAATGATTTCTGGCGACTCATTTGGCAGGAGAATGTATGTTCGGTTGTCATGGTTACAAACACCATGGAGGGAGGCAAGGTAAGTAATCAATGATGCCATACTTATAGATCAGACCTACATATTATTTGATTATAATGTAATGATGAGACCAATTAAGATAGCTTAGCTAGACGTAGTGGCATGAAAAGACAAACCCAGAATGCAAAATACATAATTGATTGAAATCATATTTGTTAACATATAGAGGTAGAAGCACATTGTTAGGATACTAGCTGGTAAATACGTGTACTGTCTTGATAAGGCTTAATGTTTACTTAAACTTTCATCACATATAAAAAATAAAAAAACTTTAATTCACAAACAACAAGTATTTTGCCTTTTGCATTCCGGACACGTCTTTGTATGCTAGATCGAAAAAAATGAGATCTCACTAAAAAACAACACTGTACGCTATGATTTATAAATGTCAACTCAACATTTCTCTGCTCTGTACGACAGGATCGCTGCACAGTTTACTGGCCGAAGGAGATGGGTAAGAGCAAGACGTTTGGTGGGATTGAGGTCAAGCTGAGAACCATTGAAGAGTTCTCAGATCATGTGCACAGGGTTCTGGATGTTAAGCAGGTAAGAATTATGTTCTGGGGGGTGTTTCATAAAGCTGTTTGTAAAGTTACGCATGACCTTACTAACGACTTGAATATGAAGTGCCAGAAAGGATGCCCAAATTTTTTCCTAATGTTTTCACAAAGTGTGACTATATTTCCTAAACCTTAATTAAATTATGGCAAAAAATATACTTTGCACTAAAAATGTTTGTTATCATAAGAATGTTAATCTACATCTGCACAGTTCAACTTTATTTGATGCAGTTAAAAAAGGATTGAGCATCCCATTTGGTTTTTCATATATAAGTCATTCGTAAAGTCATGCGTAACTTTATGAACAGCTTTATGAAACACCCCCAGGCTCTAAACAGTGCAAGATAGGTGATGATAGCACTTTGGTCCCACCTGCTTTAAAAGATGATGTTCCTTTTCATAACAAATATTGTGTACCTTAATTAATCGTGATAATCTGAATGAAAGAATGAATGAAAACTTCCACTTTACCTTGACTGTTTCTTCATCCAACTTAGTCCAATCAGAGAATTAGTAGAGCGTCAGTATGTAGATGCCTAATCAAAGGCACTGATTATTAGAAAATAACCAATTAAATTCAGTGATTCCAGTAGTTAAAACAAAAATCAATTCCTATGAACAATTTTTATCAAACTGTGCTCTTGATTATGTTCTTTTCTCAGGTGAGTGGAGGTGAAACGAGGTCCGTCCACCAGTTCCACTACCAGTCCTGGCCTGATATGGGTGTTCCACAGTACCCTACCACACTCATCAGCTATACACAGACTGTCAAACATGTCCATGAACGAATCACTGCTAATACCAAGGGCTCCACACCCATGCTTGTTCACTGCAGGTGAGTTAGATCATGATTAAGAATGTGACCAGAAAATAGTTTTTTGAAACCTCAAAATAATGTGCTAATTAATGAGAACAAAAATATGCAGTGTAAAAGACAGTAATATTGGTGAATCAAATGCTGTAATTTGACATATCTGAATCACATGCAGTTTTGGTAATATTAATCCCAATCGGGTCATTAGAGATACTAACCAGCTCCTTGTTACAATGACTTGGTTCTATCTGGATCCTTCATAAATATGATTTCCACAATAAATTAGTTTTTCTTGACACATCATTCAATCTTCAATTATTATTTTCTAAATAGTGCTGGTGTTGGGAGGACAGGAACGTTCATCTCACTCTACTGCATGCTAGCACAGGTCATAGAAGAGAGCAGGGTCGACATCTTTGGTTTCATTCAGAAGATGAGAAAAGACAGACCTAATATGGTCCAAACTGCTGTAAGTATCTATCATTTATTCTGCTCAGCTTTATATGATGGCCTGTACCATGATGGCCTGTATTACAAATAGATTTGACTTAATTACTTCCTACAGGATACTTCCTACAGGATACAGGATACAAGGCAACAGATGTAAGAACTTCATGAGTGTAAGATTGCCAACTGTTTCATGATGAAGATCTTGCCCACAGCCCAGTGTTGTTACATTTACAAGTTTAAACCCTTACAGCATTATAACGATACTACTACTACTACTACTACTACTACTACTACTACTACTACTACTACTACTACTACTACTACTACTACTACTAATACTACTACTGCTACTACTACTACTACTACTACTACTACTACTACTAATACTACTACTGCTACTACTACTACTACTTTTACTTCAACTGCTACTACTACAATGTATTACTACTACTATTATGATAGTAGTTTGTGCTTTTATTTCTATGTGATTCATATATCTGTTCTTTATGTATTTTCCACTATCAGGACCAGTATATTCTCATCCATACTGCCCTAGTTGAGGCCTACATGAGTGGTAACACTGATGTTCCTGTCAGCAGTTTTGAAGCCAAGCTTTCCTCACTCCAAGAGAGGAATCCACTTACCCAGAAACTCAACATTGAACAGGAATTTGAGGTAAAACTGATGAGCAATAGTCCAATCAGCATTGTAATCTGTTCCTTTCTTGTAGAGATACTCTTGAACATTTTGAAATTGTATTTTTTTTAATTTTTTTTTTGGGGGGGGGGGTGGGGATCTTTGCAGAGGTTTGTCTTAAATAACATCCTCTTTCGCATTACGATACAATTTAAGTGAAATTTTGCAATCAAATGCTTTGCAAATTTGAGGCTTCCAATAATTTAGGCTTTAACCTGTTGAGTACCGGTACTGAATTCTTTCATTCCCATAGGCTTTATACAGGGCCACCTGGTTCCCATTTGAAATGGGTTAATATCTTTTCTTACTATGTTTTGTTTTGAATCCATGATTTCTATTATAAATAGAATGTTTGCATGACTTGGTTAACACAACTTTAAACCAGCATTAAATGGCATTTTCCCCCGAATTGGGGTTCATTGCATCTTTCCTTCACCCCTATGTGGTTAATTGGCTGCTGTGTATCACCTCTGGGTTAACTCATTATCTTGAAAGTTTTTTTGTCTTTTTTCTACACTCCCACTGTCTATGTGATTGTTTTGATGCATGTGTTGTGTTTATGTAGTAGTGTTGCCTTTGTTTGTTGGTAGATCTTGAACCAGCTCACCCCTCCCGTCGGTCCACAAGCTTTCAAGGCTGCTGGTCTACCTGCCAACATTGACAAGAACAGATTCCCGAACGTTCTACCCAGTGAGTCTTCCTTCTTTACAGCATGCCACTTTAATCTCTTATTTGTTTTGAAGACCATATATCGACTCTTCCAAGCAAGAAAATGTCAGATAATGATAAACATTATTTATCACAGGCAGTTTAATAGTAGGCTTGAATGTATCAATAACAATAATATTCCACTTTTATATAGCGCTTAGTACATCTACAATGTCTCTAAGCGCTTTACAGATATACTATTACCCCGGTTATCGGATTCAATACCTGCCCGCACAATCTCAATGAAATTTATTTAAAATTTTATTAAAACATGACTACTTTTTTGTTTGTTTAAGGTCAGCATCTGTGTGAAGTGAATAACAGAGTTATGATTTATGTATTTTTTGCAGTTACCAGGCTCTTCTATTCTGAGCAGTATCATTTTTAAAATGTTATTACTATCAGTTGCCATGATTTGGCAACATTCTTTCCTTACTAATTGTACATGATTAAAGAGCATACAGCTGATATGTGGAGTACAGAACATCGTTTTTCGAAACTGTCATAAGTTCACTGACATCCCATCAAAAAGTTTGTTAAATGTTCGATGGGATGTCGGCAAACTTGTACTTATGACGGTTTCATGAAGCAATGCATTGGATACCAGCCTTGCACAGCAAAATTATTTCCTTTTACGTTTGCCTCAGCATATATTTATGACAAATTAAATGGTACCATATCTTTTTTTCAGTGGAGAAGAACAGACCATGCCTAGTGACAAAGGGAGAAGCAGGAAGCACAGACTATATCAATGCCTCTTTTCTCAATGTAAGTATGAGGTTAAAGGTATAGACCAGTTCTGGTCATGCGATTGCATTGTGAAAGAAACGTTATGGAATCGAAAAGGTTGATCATCTAGCATTTAAGAATTGGTGTGTACTGCAAGGTTCTTGAATCATCAAAATGATAAGAAATTTGGCTCAGTCTTGGTAAAGTTACAAGCACTGTACACAGAAAGATGTATATGGAACTATACACAAACATATGAGGCGTAAAAATGTGGTCCTCATATTTAGAATACAGAGAGATGTATATATGGAACTACCCGATATTTATCCAGTCCGGATAGATATAATAATTTACCAAATATATCAATTAGTAGGCGGTTTTCAAAACATATTCTTTCACATGATTGGTAATAAGAGCTTCCATTTTATTTTTTGAGAGGGGGGCGTTTTCAAAACTGGTTATACCTTTAAAATCTTTCAAATTAATCCTCTTGACTTACACAATGCACCCTTTTCATTAATTTATACTCAATGTTTGAGTGCTATAATGTTTTTATGCGATTCTCCATGAAGAAGGTCCTGAACTACATGTACCACCAAACCCCTATGACAACTACTCCTAGAGAAATGTTCCCACACACAAGGGCTTAGAAGCTCTTGAGTTGTTTTGGATGGAGATGGAGGTGATATTTATCCGAAGGGGTTGCTGTTAATTGGCCTGGTAGTGTCCTTTTCCTGACACATTCATGTATATCGACAGTTTGGGTTTTTTCCATGGTTATTTGTTGGATTTATAGAGTGAAAATATTTTCATGGCATTAAAATTTCAAATGGAGGCACCTAAGTTCGATTATGAAAGAAGAGTGTATCCCTGTCTTTGGTCAAAATACATCGTTTAACACAAAACTTTTGGGCTGGGTATGCAGTATATGGTATGGAAAGATGTGATTGGAGTGTTGAAATGCAATCTCCTCTCCAAGACAATTTATTTCAAATATAAATATATTAATAATAAGTAATTATTATTGTTATTAATTATTATTAGTAATAAATGAACAGATGATGTCATTTATTCTTTGAGAAAAATATTCAAAATATACATTCATCAACATCTCTAAAAGCTATGTTTTGGGCGACACCAGTTCCTTTAAACATTGAATACATTTAAAATTATTCCCCCCAAAATATGTATAGTTTGTACTGATTGGATAATAATGATGTATCTTTTTCAGACATTCATTAAGAAGGATGTGTTCCTAGCAACCCAGATGCCCCTCCCTCATACCACCGGTGATATCTGGAGAATGGTGTGTGACTGGAGAAGTCCTGTCATTGTCATGCTAAATGAACTAGATCTTCAAGACAAGGTCAGTGGAGTACACACAAAGTTTACCAAAAAAGAACAACATTACAGATTTTTATCGATGAAATAATCCAGTTCGTAAATGGTATCTGCGCATGGGCAGATAAAGGTCATTCGTTCCCAAATTTTAAAACCCATCGAGATGCATGCTGGTATTGTGCTCATGAAAGTCATGTAATCAGTATTCATTTATGCACCGACAGTACATATATCTGATACACAGGTGGAAGTATTCTTCTCAAGAGGCAAACATGAAGCACCTCCATCACTTTGGCAGTAATTATTCTAAAATGCACAAGTGGGACGTATCCAACGTGTAAAAGATCTGTGGATATTTTGAGGTCATCCATTCCAAAGCTATTTACAAATTGGCTTATGATAAAAAGAAATTACGCTAGAATTTTACATGTATACTATAAAAACATTATATGCAGTTATATACATGTAGAAGTACATGGTATGACGTACGTACAGGTCTAATGATTATTGAAGAGAGATATTTGAAGATATTTGACATTTGATGATGATATTTTAGCAGTTTACATGATGGATAAAAGGCAAAACTAGATAACAAGATACTTCCACAAGAGATAATCAGCATTGAAATATCAAGAATGTTTTACACGGTGATCACTGCATTGCCTTATTCTCTAGGCTTACTGTAGGAATTATCCAATCACATAGTAGGCAATATGGTCAGAATGACTGATTTGACTTAATCCCTGTCTGAATGGAGAAACTTTCACTGTCTTCCCATTCTGTAAGGAATTCACATCAAATTTTGCTGATGCTGTTAACTTTTCTAATTAAAGATCAACATATTGTTCCATGTTTTGGTAAATTGCAGCTTCAGTTTGATATTCCATAATTTGAATAAAATAATACAGAATAACCGAACAAGCATTGAACAAGTACTAGGATATAGATAGAAAGGATCAATGCAAATAAAAATGCAGGGCTGATAGGGTTAAAAGAGTCCCAGCTACCTATGCAAGGTTTATTGCTCAAAATATGAATTTACATGTATGGAAAGGGCTATGCTATATAATTTGAATGTTATAAGATTATTTGGTTGTAATTGGAATAATAAATTTCATGTTAAGTAAACAAACACATAACTCATACCAAAGCTTTAAGTGCTTTATGTTTATCACATTGAAATCCTTCTCCTCCAACTCATATGCTAGTCCTGTGCCCAGTACTGGCCCAATAAAGACTCGGTCCAGTTTGGTCCCCTCAAGGTATCTATCATCTCGGCTGAAACCATCCGCAGTGACTACGTCATGAGGAAGTTTGAGATCAAGGGACCTAAGAAGGGAGTAAGTTTTCATTATGTCTTAACCCACAGACTATCTAGCTTTCATGAGATATCTTTGCTAGGGGAATTGTTAAATGTTCCCTCGGAAAACTTTGTTTGATAAATCTTCCATGTTTTTAAAATCGTTGCACAAATAAATCCATGACATGAATTGAAATTAATTTTATTCAAACAGCTGAAAATACTGCCTCTACACTCACAAGTTTCTCCATGCAGCTGTCTAATCATCATGACATTATTCGTGGTCCGGTCAATAATAATAATAATATACCGTACCTATATAGCGCATATCACAATATGTTTGTATGCGCTGTGAGAAAGAGTAAGAAGGAAAGGTCGATAGAGAAACATAAGAAGATTGAGATACGCTCAACATACTTCCTCTTGTTAACATTGGTAAGTATTTCCTGTTAGTAGACGAACCAGTTGTAGACCAAATGGTAATAAACCATCTCAAGCTTGGGTCTCTGGGAAATGTGATGTATCACAACAATCACACTGTATTAATAATAATAATAATAATAATACATTTATAGAGCACAGAAACTATCCAACATTAAGTATATATTCTACTGCGCTACAAAAACTCCTGATATGCTTAGACTTACAGTTAATTGAAAAGATGTGTTTTAAGTTTTGATTTAAAGATAATCACAAGGATATTGACAAGGATAAACCTGTTGTTTATTTCTAACAGACTCTGACAGTGAAGCAGTTTCAGTTGATGGGTTGGGATGGTAACCAGAAGAGACCCGCCTCCTTAGCTCCCATCCTCCATCTGGTTGATGCTGTTAGTGAGTGTGTAAGGACATCACAAGCATCAGGTCCAATCGTGTTACACTGCATGTGAGTATAGTCTTCTAATCTATGCATCTATGTACAACTCATGTTCAAGTTCAGGGGCCTGTATGATAAAACTCGTTATCCATGAGCCACTCTAAATTCAATGAAAAATTTGCTCTCAGTCAATCAAACTCCACAATTGTAATGGCTTATAACAGTTATTGTAACTTGTTATTGATAAGAAGCTTCATGAAAAAGGGCCCATGTTTAATTCACAGCTGTCAAAATCATTATATATATATATATATATATATACATTTATATATGTACAAAGATACAAATAGTTCAGTAAAATCCTATTTTACTTGTTAAGTACATGTGGTATGTGTGTAATTTTGAATAAATTCATTACATAAAGAAAGATTTGTGAAATCATTTGATTACTTGAAGGAACCTCTAATGAGATTGAGTGATGGATACAATCTAGAAATCAGGGGAAATAGTTCTGGCTCAAGATCAAATTTGATAATGATATGTTTGTCAGATAGACTTTCATTACCTGGTTGTTTACAGGTCAAAAAGTTTGTATGATGCATTTTTTAATTATAGTATATAATAGTAGTGATAATGATCAGATTGATGAAGCAAACACGGAAATACCTTTATTTATTTCATCTCTACTTACTTTTAAATCATCATCATCATCATTTATTAAAGTCAGCAGTTTCCCTCTTACGAGGGGTTACAGACTTTTCCGCCATGATGGCACTCCCGCCTTCCATTTCTTCTTGTATCAAGCATCCTCTTCAATTAGACCAACCTTACTCCTTTCTTTCCTCACCCTTATATTTCCATGAAATCTGTTCTTCCGAAATGGTCAAAAATGTCTACCTGTAATGTTTAAGGCATGGGTTATTTGTTTGATCATCACAGCAATAGGATTGGTAGGAGTTGTGTTTAAAAGTTTCCACCTACAACCTAAGACCATGAAATTCTTTGTTTCACGATTGCAGAAATGGAATTGGTAGGAGTGGTGTGTTTGCAGCCATCTATTCAGCAGCTGAGAAGATGATAACTGACAGCTCTGTCGACATCTTCCAATCCGTGAAGAGGTTACGAGCAAACCGTCCCAGCATGATTGAGTCAGTGGTAAGTCTGGGCTTGTAATACTTTAAAAATAAAGCAGAGTACTCATCGTGAGATGATGTTGTGACAGAAATTCTCTTGAAATATTTGTTCTGTCATCTTCCAAACGGTAAACAGTCCTAGCATGATTGAATCAGGGGTTATTATTTAGAGATGATGTATGTAAACTTTTTTTTGAACAGAGGAGGTAGAGATATTGTTAGTCAAGTAGATCATGTGTTAATTATCAATTTTTGTCTTAGAAGTAAATCAGGGCTTATATTAAAACAGTTGTGATTAATTAAAATATGTCGCAACTTATGATCACTTACAACTCTATACTAAAGCTTGTAAGTTTGCGAGTGATCTGGGAATTGTGATCTATCCCAGTCAATTACAACTCCTTAAAAGACAGTGACCTGTTCTTCAAAATCTATACTGTAAAACCTTAATGAATAAGTGGTTTTAATGTTGATGTCGTGATTATGTGTAACACAAGTAATACACTCTGTGTCAGTTATGTGCATTCAACTTTTGTGACCAAAATTTTGCTATACAAATTTTTTACTTATTTATATTTCTTCACCTTTCCCCCTTCTCTTTTACAGGATCAATACAGCATCTGTTATGAAGGCATGGCAGAGTACATGAAGAAGTTTGATGAGTATGCTAACCTAGACATGTAAAGAGATTGATTTAATATGCTTACAGTATGTCGTTTCTACCGGGGGGCGTTTCACAAAACTTGTCATCAGAGACAATTGACAGTGTTTGTTATAAACTACTGAAATCCTTGCTTCTGATTGGTTATTAGCAGATTTGTCACTGATTTTTGTAATTTGTCATTGAAAAAAAGGCTTTGTGAAACTGGTCCTAGGAGTCCAAATCTGTTACCTGTAATGTAGACCTTCTCACATTATTTGTAAGGTGGTTAGTGCTTGAGTGATGTCTATAACTTTTCTGGCAATATTTACAATACCATTTTGCTGCATGTACATGAGATGCTCGTGAAAGAATAGTTTACCATATTTTAGCCCGCGTACAAGTTTTTTTTTTTTACTGGATTCTAATCTGACCATTGCCATTCTTGATGTATTCATGATGTGATACTATGACTTGCCTGGCAATTCACTACACGCTTTTGATTATACAAACATTAAAAGCACTACCGGTAATTGCATTAATTAGTGGATAATGGTGTTTCTAAAAAAGCGTGTACCTAAATATATACATGTAGTATTGTAGACCCGGTAAATACGGAAAGTGACTGTGTATTAAAATCCATGTATAATGTGGAATTTAGCAACGCTTGAAAGGATTTTTGAACACGTTGAAATATGAAGTAAAATATGACTTACAAACAACCTAATGTTCAATAAAGATAAGCCTTCACTTTTTACTATTTCTGTCTGTTTATACATGTTCATGTATGTGGTATCTTATGTTATTTATAATTACATGAAATAAAGAATCTGTGGTTATCATGAAATATATATGTACTTTAAAGAAAAGAATTTTTTTTTTTTTTTTTTTTACTGTACTGGTAAGTCAAATGCATGTCTAGCTCATTCTCAAATGTTTTAATGTAATAACACTCTTTTATATGACATGAATAGTACGCTATCAAAAAGTAACTATGCAAACAAGTCTTTTATATATTCTTCTCATTCAAATTCACTCTTTCAAAGTACATTAATAATTATAAAAAAATTATGGGGAAAATGCCTTTGCCAATTTACCTAAAAAGAGGCCTAAACCTACAAAGGACTTCAAAATAGAACCCTTTTTTATGACTTATATACATTTTACAATTTGATTTATACAAATCTTCTTCTTCTATCGACTCCCCCTCCTTCACTCTTGAAGAGTCTTGGAGATGCTTCTTTAGACTTATCCAGTATATATTCGATTTTCTCCTTTACTTAAAGAATATTTATCTTGTGTTTATTACTTATATGTTCAAATATAGTTAATATTACTTTTTTCATGTATCATTGTATTTTACCTCATAAGTGTTTTCCCCCTATTATTGTAAAGAGACTACAGGAGCTTATTTAATTCATATTTTAGGTTTTCAAAATACTTCTCATAGAATTTGAACATGCATCGCAAACTTACAATAGTTGACTATTTTGTTAGCAACCCAAATCAAAGTGCATGAAAAAAAAGAGATAATTTGTTGTTCCATTTAAGAAATAAAAGTAGGTAAGTATTTAGAATCTTGTTTTAAACATAACATTTTGATTCTTTTTATTTAACATCTAACATTGTTACCACAATTTTCACAAAGATTCTAGTAATGATTATTAAAACATTTTCTTTCTATTTCTGGGACAAAATCAAATTCATGTTGATTTGTAAACCCATTTTATTTTAAAGTTGTAATATAGATTGTTAACCTGCCATAAGCTTGAACAAGCTGAATCATTGAAGTACATCTTCATCGAAATGAAATATCACTTTTATACATGTGTTGTATCCTATGGTACCGTACTTAATAATATATTTACATGTACATCATACTATGTAATAATGACCCTTAGGGGAAATGTTTTGTTAGATATGTTTGTTTTTATGTCTTTCCAGAATTTCTTATTCTCTTTTACAATTCTGCTTTCATTCCTATAGTTTTATATTTTAATAATTTTATGTTTAATTCGTTATCAAATATTGATATTTGAATGCAGTGGGGACATTGATGCAGTAATAATGTATTATGATATTTTATGAAAGTATATGTAGTTCTAAGTATATTATGCAGATTGACGATTTATTGAACATATCTTATATCAGTACTGGTGCTGAGATGATTACACATATATGGTTAAACCTAAGAAAAGATTCTGTTAATGATCACATACATGCATATGTTTTTAGTTTGATTTTATGGATGAAGTAGAAATAGCTTTAATTTGTCTTTCATAGTAAAAAGTGTGAAAGCTGTAAATAATATTTTTTACATAATATGAGATTTATATAATTAATTGTTTTATATGAAAATGCACGGTATGCATGTATCAAGATACCAATTAGAATCATCTTTTTTCCCACTTGAAGAACAGATTATTTTTACAGGGCTCGACCACTATATGAGAACATAATTGCCATTTCTTTCATCCAGTGAACATGTAAAATGGAATAGCGCAATATGCAATTTGCGGTATAGAAATATCTTATTATTATTATTATTATTATGAGAAATTCCTATAAATAATTACATTCCCAATTGCTGCTATTAAAATGAATTGTGAATAAATAGATTTTTTTATAGAGTTAATTTTATTGTGTGACCGTTGTGTTTCATATGAATCTTGCATTCGTTTTGATATAAAACTAGCTTTCATTAAAATGTGACTCCTAAAACTCAAGGTATTTGGCCATTTGGTGTCCCATAGTATTAGCAATAGACCTGTTTACTATTTCTCTTGGCAACTTCTAGTAAAAAGCTTGCCAGATGCGTGCTTGACATAGCAACATCTAATGAATGCAAAGTGGTTTCCGTCCATATAGAGATCCCATTATTCATAGCAGGTGATTGAAATAGCTGGTAACTAGGGATTAGGGAGAGAAACATGCATACATTTAAATACCTCAGTAAACGGGTCTATTATCATGGAACAATGAACATGATCAACATACAAATGAAATTATCCTTGATATTTGGTTTGATGAAAAGTTCAAAGTAGGGCTATCGGCTTTATACTAAAGCTGGTGCATCATAATCTTTGATAATATGTATAGTACTAAATATCTTGGACTGGCCAATCTAAAGAGATCAAGCAGAGGAAATAGATTGAGAGGGGAGCGAGAAGAAGAGTGGGAGAGAGGGGAAGAGAGAAAAGGTAGGTGAAAGGATAGGAGAGAAAAAGAGGAGGGAGAGGAGAGTAGAGAGAGGAGGAGGGGAGAGAAAGTGTGTGTGCGTGAGAGAAAGGGAGAGAAGGCGGGAATGGAATAACACAAGGAATAGACTAACTGTAATCAAAGGGAAATACAAAATTGAATTCACATTGCTAAAGAGAGTGCGTGTGTGTTTGTGGGAGGTTGTTTATGAGGACAGACCATAGAGCCCACGACTAAAGACTACTCACATTTCCCTACTCTTCCACACAATACTATCACTGTTGATAATTAATGACGGCACCTGTAATACCGAGTCGAAGATGTACAAATGGGTACTTAAAGGTAATACAAAGTTTTGGGACATTTTGAAAATTGGGTGGATAGTGATTCTTTCAATTTTGATATACTTGGATGCCCCTGTGGATGTATTATAAGCACAAGAAATTTTAGCCCCTAAAACCCTTCTGCTTTCAAGAAAAATTGAATATAAAATTTACCGGTGCTCCCGGTAAATTTTGATAAATTTCAAATTGCGCCGACGGCCGTACAATGGTAGCTGCGACCATGAAAATCTCAGAATATTTAGTTGAGATATATAATTTTCAAACGGGAAGAGTTAATTATTTACAATTTCACAACTTTTAGACTCGATTTCAACCGCAACAACGATCACTGAATATTGTAGGGTCGCATATGCTTCCAATATGTTCATTTGAACCAAATTCATGCATACCAAAACTTTGTATTACCTTTGAATTAACTCAAAATAACGTCTTTTTTTCTTCTTCAATGTTACTATCGATTCATAAGTGGCAATTTGAGTAAAGGTTATATGGTGTAAAGCGTTCCCACTTATTCGTGTTCACAAAACCACTAGAGTAATTTAATTTTGGGGCGTATATTCTTTTGTTTTGTGCTTGCCCAGCCATGCAGTTGTCGCGATTCTGTGTCCAACTCGAACCGGGTTGGTCAAACTCTTCATCAATGACACTGGGCCCCATTGCATAAAACTTACCCAAAATGGTGACTTCCATGGAAACCTTGATTTGATTTGCTGTTGAGTGATGTTGCCATGGTAGTTGCTATTGATGGCAAAGTTACCATGAATGGTGCCCTGGGCAAAAGTACATATTTGTACTAGTAAATGTACATATTAATCTTTTAAAATTAATGTGCGTTTGTTTCTCCCCCTTTTGTTTTAAGCTGGACTATTATTGAGTCGTTCATGAGTTTATACATTCTGAATCGTTAACCAAATCAAAACAATTACCTTTGTACCCAAGAATACGTGATACATGACTAATTTCAATGTGTGCACAAGCCGCAGGGAAATTGCTTAATTGCTTTCAAGATTAAAACTCTTGAGAGAGTTCATAATTACCACTTTATTCTAGGGCACAGGCGTAGCATAAATGTAGACAATTAAGTGGGCTCTGGGAGATGAAATATGAGAGAACGGCAAAGCGACCGAGGGATGGGGTGGGTTATGTAGCTGGGATGCCATGTACCATCCTCTTCCTTCCCATATTTCCGTCCCTCTTGTCCCTTATTTTCACTCTCTCTTCCTCTCCCATCGATTAATTGAGGGGGAAATGTCCCCCACGCCCCCGTATCTATTCCGCTACTCCAGAATACACAGTATATAAGTAAGCACTTAATTCAAAACAATTCTTGTTTAAATGTTACCCGCTATTGTTAAATGGTGCCATGTAAAGTGTTCATACTATTTTAGTCAACGCAACATTTTTTTTTAAAGTTATAGATGAAAAGTTGTAATTAAGCGAAAGCTTTATAATAATCTATAAAAATGTCTTGCAAACATTCATCCTCTTTAATAATATGATACTCTTAAATCAGATGTCCTTTCTATGGCATTATCATCTTGGCATTAACAAGATATAAGCCCACTTAAGAGCGGATGTTACATTACAATGAGTGGGGCCCTAATGGACCCGATAATTATTATCGAGACTGATGAGGCTAATACGCGCGGACTATTACCTGATGGAAATTATCTAATTATTGCCAAGAAGGGTTGTCATAACTGTAGGCCCTATTTACAATTCACTAGTGAGATTATTGTTTTTCAAAGTGTTGACTGATCATTAGTTTTTGGATAACACTGCTTGCAGAGTCATAGAAATATATAGAATGTCGGTTTGTTTGAAACATTTAGCACAAATCCTAAATAACTAGAACGAAATAGTCAATCTGCAAATTTACTGTGATATCTGGATTATATTCCTTGGATAACTGTTGAGTTCATTGCTTGTCTGATTGAAATTAAGGGACGTCTATTGTATGCTTGCTAAACACCATCAAAGAAACATCCTTGTTAGATGACAGAAGATACTTCTGTGCCATACAGTAGTTGTCGAGTGCAGATTAATTTCCCGTTTTAAAGAAAACTAATAATTTCAGGGAAGGCGTAGAGACGAAGATACATGTACAATGGAGGGCAATTCTTCCGCTGGATTCGATCCCGACCAGGTTCCACTTTTTAATTTGGATATCATTATTTATACCACCTGAATTTTTATGGTCTTTTCCTTGATTCTCAATTCATTTATAATATTGTTAATGAGAAACAGCGACGCGTTCAATGAAATTGACTCCATTCTGTATCAGGTTTTGGCAGTAGAGGACATGGTTTTCTTCATTACTGGCCTTTCTATTCAGTATCTAATAAGAAAAGATACCACTAATTGTGTACATGACATCTGTCACAGATGGTCATCATTAAGACTCATCTCCTCATCGGCCATCTTGTATCAGATCTTTGGTACCCTTCTAACAATAAATTTGTGTCGTTATCTGCTCATCGTGAAGCCATTGCAGTACCTCCGATGGATCACGAAAAGAAAGGTTGTGGTCAGCCAGGCGATTATCTGCATTGTTTCAGTGACGTATAACTTTGGGTTACTATACATCTTGACACTCCCAAAGTATTTCAGCCCTCGTGTTATGGTTCTTTTTGTTCTTCCTATAATCGCAGGGTTTGTGGTGTTATTGGTTACAAGCATTCATATTATGCTGATATCTTTCAAACAATCGAAAAGAATTAATGCTATCCACAACCAAGTGGCCAGAATCGATCCTTTAGGGAAATTCCGTCAAGGAAAGCGCCCTCTCGACAGCTTTAAAGGCCTTCGGACAACACTGTTGATCACTTTTACTTACTGTATCTCATGGATCCCCTACATCTTAAGTATCTTAGAATCTGGGGGATACTTACAGCAGCCGTCACAGATTCGGTTGCTTTCGGGTTTCACGACATTGCTTAATTCAGCTTGGAATGCTTTGTTGTGTTACGCCACTAACCGCCAATTCCGACTCGAAGCGGTCAAATTATGTGGGCGAATTAAACGAAGACTCTTCGAAAATTGCAAGTACCCATCATAATAGACTGAAAAATATTAATTTATAACCCTCGAGTCCTACCCATTCAGCATATAATACAATATTGACTAGTGACTCTTTGTAACATCTTTGATTGATCTATCGGTTACCAAAGGTTTATGAATATGTTTACTTATTACCCGATTACATTCGAATTTGAATATAGCTTCAACATTCTTTATCTTCAAACATACGACATTTCCATGTGCATGAATGTGAATTTGATAATGTTTTCTGGTACAGTTCATGAGCAGACAGTCAATGAAACATCCTCTTGTCTTTTGTCCGTACTTCCACTTCTGTTTGCTCTTGAACGAGGAACCTTAAGACACACCTCTTCGACTGAGTGTTTATTTATGTCCTTTCCTTTTCTTTTTTTTTATTCTTTTGTTTAGCGTAACGTTATGTGGAATTTTTAAATCGGATTTTGAGTTATATAAAAACATACAACTCTATATAGATGTATGTATGAGATATAAAGTTTACATGCTCAATGACTAATAAGCAAAAACTAGATATAAGAGGGGTGCAACGATGCTTATGTTTTCTTGTAATATAAATCCTGGTATCTTATTAGCAGTTCTTCCAGTGTACCTCACCTCCTGTTTGTCTTCTAAGGTTTTCTTTAATGAAACACATGCAAAAATAATTTTGTTGAAAATGTATGTATTCACTTCTAAGACTCATTCCCATAGTCTTATTCACTACCCCAAATACATGTACACACACACGCACACCCGCGCACACCCACGTGAACCATACGTTGACACCCACCCACACTGAACATTGAAAATCAGTGTCCTATCAAATTTCCGTCCCATTACCAATAAATACTTATTCACTGGTGACTGTTATTTTCTATGAAGAAATCAGAAAACTCTTAATTTAAACAAATTGTCAACTCATGTCATTATCTCCTTGTCCGTCACGAACATCGCTGCAGTGATAAGAGTCATTGTCTTTAGAATTCTGTTTTGTTCATTCTCTTAAATTGCATTAATATCAATGCCCTCTTATCGAAGTATCCTATACGAGCTGCTCATTATAAGCACAACAGCACAAATAAATATTTAGAAAGTAATTCAAAAAAAAAAAAAAAGCAAAAGACACACAATTGAAAAAGGAATATAGAACTGTGTGTAATGAGTTTCACATTTTCTGTTGTTATGGTGCTAGTCCTCTTCTTGAAATGCACGCTTCTCTACACAAGCCAATTTGATTTTTAAATGTAGCTTATATTGCTATTATTATTATCATTATTAGTATTATTATCATTGTTTTTAATGTTATCATCATTATCATCATCATTATCATCATTATTATTATCGTTATTATTATTATTATTATAACTATTATCATTATCATTATTATTAATTTGTTTTGTTTATCATCGTCATCATTAGTATTCGTATCATTATTGTTATTATTGTAATTGTTATTATTTTCATTATCATTATAAGGATTGATACCCTGAAAAAACCCTCTGATTCACTTGTTGCTTCGGTTTGACCGAGGCGCCCACCCCTCTTCGTAAGTGGATCCTCTCTACCCCACTGCTTACGATCTACAACCTTTCAATTCAACCATCACCTCCCTGGCGATGCGAAGCTAGACTGGCGGTATTCTCGATGATTAAGTGCGCATGGAATCAAACTGGTTCTGTATATTACAGAGTAGCGATCCATCACATTGCATGTAACGCTTATGTACTACCTGTATGTTCCATTGACTAGGATCAATAAAGCAGGATTCAATTTAATTACTTAACCGTTGTGCTTCTTGCTATGACGACAGTATGATTACTTTATAGGCTCCACTGGGTAACTAAATGAAAACACTTACAAGATTAAATGCAATTTTCTAATTTTCGTATAACAAAAATAAATAGCTCTTACCTGAGATCTACATGTACATGAGACTTGTTGCCAAAGACTGATGTTGACGGCTTGCGTTATTCTGGACACCTAATACCCCAATCACACCAATGAGTAATACACGAGACAAAAAACAGACCGAACACAAAAGTTAGGGCCTATGTTGTAAGAATTGCGAGACTGATGATATGATTCAGAAATATATTGTATAAACGAAATTGTACGTCATTTTCTCATGTCCTCTCAGTACCTTTTTTAAAATGTATGTTTTCTTTACTATTAACACTCATTAGGCCTATATGTTTATATTGTATTGTTTGTATTGTATGACATATTTTCTAATATGTACAATGATTAAACACTTATACATACACATCACAATTTATACTTCAATCGCACCAACGAGCCCAACACGAGACCGTCAAGAGCCCGAACAATTAAACAATTATCCCCCCCCCCCCCCAAACAAAAGACTAAAACATGGTCGAGTTGGAGTTGATTTGGCGGTACTACAATGATGTATTGCCTCTGATGGGGTTGTTGACTCTATTTAATAAACTTGGCTGTCTTCATACACGCATAAATCTAATCGATGATCAGGTTAAATCATAACCATGTTCCTCGTGGTGGTGATTTTATGTAGAGTTCCCCCATCGAAACATTTTATATAACAGTGTACAGGACATTTATTGACACCAATTCGCCGTAAGTTGGGTGATAGCCGGGGACGTCGAACTGTAAAGACCGCGGAACGGGTTTAGAATTAGTTTGTGGAATCCCATATAAACACATCCATGGTTTTTGCATCCAATCATGTAATTACGCGGTATAACAAAGGAGATAAATACAGACATTGTGGGCCTTCCAAACCAATTACTTCAACGTAAAATGAAATCCATTTCGACGTGTTGTGGAAGGCGAACGAATGATTATGAATGGAATATTATTTGTTTAGCTTGTACATTTCGAGTGATCGTATATTTGCCTCGTAGAAGTACGATCTATTATATTAGACATTCTTCTGGATGTGTTGGTATGTCGAGGAAAGATAATAAGCTTCGCGAGATGGTGATTTTCATCATATGTTAGAGCGACTTGGACTTCAACTTCTAGTAGTTACGGAAACATGCCATTTCGCGTATGTCACAGGTACAAATTCTCTCAAGACAGTCTGATTGGAAAAGAGCAATCTAATCTTCTATAGTAGGGACATCTTTTGAGGAAATAAATACGCATCAAGATTTACTGACATCTAACTTAAGTCTACCAGTACACGTCTGAGAGAGGTGTCTGGATTTCGACATCGAAACTGTCACATAGGTAAATAATTTTGAAGGTGTCACATAATTCTTTTCCGATAATACGCATCTACATAGGAGTTACTCTTCCTCTTTATTCCCGTATATGAACTGAAAGAGCATCGAAAAGCCTTCGAAAAGTGAAACTGGGAAATTCAGGTTGATAGAAAACATATCAAAACGTAAAGAGCAAGCGCCCAGAGCTAGAAAGAGTATTGACATACTTACATGAACCTGATCTTCAAAGGTAATGCCGGAGGTAATGGCGGAAGGATTAGATAAATCGTTTCCACCAAAAATCGGCACATCGGTTGCGCAGTCTGTTGATTTTGGCTTGGCAGGTGCTTCATTGACTGAGAATGCTGACCAAGTGGAACCACCTGAGATCAAGAAGTCCAGATGGTACCTGCTATCTTCATCGTTTCCTCATGCCATAGGAGTAGCAGGGATCAAGTTTATATTCAATGGCGATGAAATGAAAATAAGGAGGTAAGTCGCACTAATTTAGACCTTGTAACAATTTAAACAAATATATTTCCCCCTAAACAGTCTTCAAATAGTTATAGGCATTGTTCTCACATTAAAAGTGTGATGTGATTTACACGGAACTAGGTGCTCATGGTATCCTGTAATACTGGTAAAGCATGTACCCATCAATTAATAAATGGAAACTGTCTTTTCCATCGGAAGAATCCAAACTAAAACTCTATCAATGAAACGATTTAAAAATGAAATTAATAATAAATAGATGTTTGATATCTATTTGATGTTGATCTTTAATCTTTTCTGTGTATCTTCATTGTTTACGTGCTTTGTACGTGCCATATAATTCTTACATATATGTATTATATTGTTACATGTATATTCTTATATTCGTATGTTATGGCGAATGATGAAGAAATGAATGAATGTATAAAAAGTAGACCAGTTATGGTCATGCGGTTGCATTGTGAAAGAAACGTTGTGGAATCGTTCAGAAAAGGTTGATAATCTAGCATATACATGTAAGTGTTGGTGTGTACTGCAAGGTTCTGGAATCATCAACATGATAAGGAATTTGGACCAGTCTTGGTAAAGTTACAAGCACTGAACACAGAAAGATGTATATGGGACTACGCGACACGTGCCTTATATCTATCAGGTCCAAATAGATATAATAATTTACCAAAAATATCAATTAGTAGGCGGTTTCTCGGCAATTTTTTTATAATCACGTATCAGTCAAAACACATTCTTTCACATGATTGGTAATAATAGCTTCCATTTCATTTTTTGAGAGGAGGGCGTTTCCAAAAGTAGTCTTTACCTTTAAAAAAAACCATAGTATCTGTTGACCTGGTTTTTCCTGTCTGAAAATGTCGTCGATAATGCAAAAGGCAATATCTACCATTACCATTTTCCAAATAACTTGAACGAGGCAAATATAACTTTTCATCCATCTAAATGTTCTGCGTCTCTGAGTACTTTTTAGTCTTTCTCAGACGTGATACAAAAGGAGGTCAGATAACATTTTGTTTATCTTACAGATGTGTCTGGGGCATCCTTCTCCTGATATGCCTATCTGCGATGGTATATCAAACAGGAAACCAATGCGTCAGGTATGCAATGAAACCTGTTAACACCCTTTTGGATGTGGAGTATGTTGATCTGCTAGACTTTCCATCAGTCGTTCTCTGCAACTACAATGCTTACAGGTAGCTTTTCTTTATGTAAACGGACCAAAATTGGTTAGAATTTCATGAAGAGACATACAAATCCATCACCAAAGATGAAGCATTTGGTGGTTCGGGGGGATAACTCACAGAAACACCAAACGTTCATGATCTACTAGTTCTACGTAATACATCGTCATCTTTTACGATATTATTCACATGTTCAAGAGGGATTGGACAGGGGTCTTAATACATACTGAATGGATAATCATCCGATGCGACGTTTCTATATGAATTATGTACAGAATGTGCAAGAGAAGAGTGGACTTTAGTCTAGATTCTAATGGATATTGCACAGGACTACTAATCACCTGGTAATAGATTTATCTCCTATAGTCATGGAGCTGAACACGTTATGGGATGTATGAAATATTCTGAAGCCTTTAGCTAATGGTACAACAACAGTGAATACATACTCGTATTATTGTTGAGCGCTGGGGCTTATTGCTTGTGTAAAGGCCTAATAAAAAATTATTTATCCTTCTACTTATGATGCGTTTGGAACCGTTGTAATAGTACCCAATAGCCGGTGTGCTGGTGGCTCGGTGGTTAGAGCGCCCGTCTCATGAACGGGAGGTCGTGGGTTCGAACCCCGGCCGAGTCATACCAAAGACAAAGATTGGAGAAGGGTAGTAATCATAGCATATTATATTATGTTACATTACATTACATATATATATATATATATATATAGGACACAAGGTAGATAAATAAATAAAAACACCGGAGAAGTGAATATTCCACTGACGTTTCGGGCATAGCCCTTTATCGAAGTGATTCAAGCATGAACAACAAAATCAAAAATATATAGGCGACGCTTGGTAGTCAAGATGCAAAGGCGCGTGAGAGTACGCGAAAGAAGAGAAAAAGAGATAGAGAAACGTCACAAAGCTCAAAAGTTGGACCATTGTGACGTGAGAAAATAGGAGAAAATTAGAAATATAGGGAGCGTTAGAAGAGCGTATCTCCAGGGGAGATACGCGGAAAGCAAAAGAAAAGGAAAAGAAGAGGCGCACAGAAAGAAAAATAAGCAATTGAAAAAGCATTATGACGTAATAAAGATATTAAAGTTCAACAAAGTTCAGTGTGAGTTAGGGAAAGATCTGAAAGTGGCGTTCATCCCGTCCGCGTGGAGAGTGCCAAGTTTGAAGATTATCCTCTCCTCCATCAGCTTCCTTTCTTTCTCATCTCGGCAAGATTTCAGCACACATACTTGAAGGTCATCAGCATTATGATCTCCGATGTTGAAGTGGTGAGCTACAGGTAGTCCGGCTGTCTTCAGGCGTATGGAACGCAGATGCTCCGTGATTCTATCGGCTAGGCGTCTCTTTGTCTCCCCGATGTACACCATGGAACAGCGGGTACATGTCAATCCGTAAATGACATTAGTGGTGGTACATGTGAATTCTCCTCTGATATGCCAAGTTCCTCTGGGGCCCACCACATCATGGGATGAGACATGGGCGCAGGTCTTGCAACGAGGACGCTTACAACGAGTGGTACCAGGATTAGTGATGCTGTGGGATATCTGACTGGGAAGTCTTGAGCAGACAAATTCGTTTAAAAAACTAAGACGAATTTGCAGCGACGACACTAATTTCAAGTCAAGAGCGAAGGAGATGAGAACTTTCTTCTCTGACAGAGGCTATCCCGACAAGATCGTCGAAGGGGGAATGATGAAGGCTAGCCGAATCACACAACATGACGCTCTGACTAAGAGAGGTAAGGATTCTAATTCCCGCACCCCTCTTGTACTCACGTACAACCATACATCTCAGCGAATTGCTAAGGCCGTACGTGAAAACATCAACATCCTCCGGGCTGACGAGACGACTCTTAGTGTATTTGGGGCCAACCCATTCATCACGGCGTACCGGAGGGGGAAGAACATAAAAAAAGAACTTGTCTGCTCAAGACTTCCCAGTCAGATACCCCACAGCATCACTAATCCTGGTACCACTCGTTGTAAGCGTCCTCGTTGCAAGACCTGCGCCCATGTCTCATCCCATGATGTGGTGGGCCCCAGAGGAACTTGGCATATCAGAGGAGAATTCACATGTACCACCACTAATGTCATTTACGGATTGACATGTACCCGCTGTTCCATGGTGTACATCGGGGAGACAAAGAGACGCCTAGCCGATAGAATCACGGAGCATCTGCGTTCCATACGCCTGAAGACAGCCGGACTACCTGTAGCTCACCACTTCAACATCGGAGATCATAATGCTGATGACCTTCAAGTATGTGTGCTGAAATCTTGCCGAGATGAGAAAGAAAGGAAGCTGATGGAGGAGAGGATAATCTTCAAACTTGGCACTCTCCACCCGGACGGGATGAACGCCACTTTCAGATCTTTCCCTAACTCACACTGAACTTTGTTGAACTTTAATATCTTTATTACGTCATAATGCTTTTTCAATTGCTTATTTTTCTTTCTGTGCGCCTCTTCTTTTCCTTTTCTTTTGCTTTCCGCGTATCTCCCCTGGAGATACGCTCTTCTAACGCTCCCTATATTTCTAATTTTCTCCTATTTTCTCACGTCACAATGGTCCAACTTTTGAGCTTTGTGACGTTTCTCTATCTCTTTTTCTCTTCTTTCGCGTACTCTCACGCGCCTTTGCATCTTGACTACCAAGCGTCGCCTATATATTTTTGATTTTGTATATTGTTGTTCATGCTTGAATCACTTCGATAAAGGGCTATGCCCGAAACGTCAGTGGAATATTCACTTCTCCGGTGTTTTTATTTATCTACCTTGTGTCCTATTCATTTTATGCACCGACGCAGAACCATTTTATGTTATGCAGTTCCCGCTGGAAGAGCAGTTTCATAACTAAAGTGGCTACCCTGGGTAAATAAAACGTTATTATTATTATCAATTAATATCAATTAATAGAGGCACTGAATTTAATACCTTCAGCTGAGCTATAATATGTTATCATGCTTTGCATGTTCATTATTAATACAGATAATATGTAAACGGTAATCTTTTATCAAACAGGAAATCCTACATAGAAGATAACGAAGCAGAGTTTGCTATACTCCTAAAGCATCTCACTAATCGAACATCACGTAGACATCAGGATATCGATGCCACATTTTATGATGGAAACCTGAAGTACACCAATCTCACAGAACTGAGACTCAACGCTGCCCATCAACTCGACACTATCGTTTAGTAAAGTGCATTTTGTATCATTATAGGGCTGGCGGTGTCTCACAGAAAAATCTCTTTAAAAAAATCCCTTGAAAACTCCTTTCAAGGGAGAATTTTCTTGCTTCGTTAGAGGATTTTTAATGGGATAATTGATGACAGATAGCAATTAAGAGGATGACTAAAATCTGGATAACTAAAATCCGGATTTTTGGCCTCTGTGTGACACCGCCTAATGTGTCATCAACAGATTCTGAGCAAAAGCACATTAAAACCTTTGAGCACTATGCAATATGAAGATGCTTTACATAATTATCTAGGAATTGAAATGCAATAGGAAATTTGACTTGATTACAAATTAAGAACATAGGTCTACATTGCATGTTTTTTAAAGTTTTTTTAGTCTAGGTCTACTTATACTTTATGGTAGCGTTCATTAGAGCAATTAATATATAACGTAATGATGGCTTTTCAGTTATTAATAATATCTTTTCAAAGGAATTGGTTTAAACACAACATTTTATTTTCCTCTTTTTTTGGCCCCCTTTTGTCATTTTCCTGTTTGTAAATCTTAGAAAGTGTTATGAGTTCTCTAGACCATGAACATAAACCTCACTTCTTGTTGGGTAAATTCACTTTACACGTATTGTCTCTTTTCAGTGCAACCTTCGGCAATGAAAAACTTACAGTTGATAATTTCTCTCTCGCTCTCTTCGAGTTCGGGGTGTGTTTTACCTTTAACCTCGACGGTACTCATCGGTTACAAGTACGAAGCCCAGGTAAATGATATCCCTTAATTAAAAATAATTATAGGCATTTCTATAGCATTAATTATTACCCTGGCTTTAGCCTAGCTGCCATTACAGCACTCCAGCATTTCAAGGAATTAATTCCTGTCACGTACCCTTCTCTTTTGTAAGGTGGATGCGTATACTATTGTCCTGACATTTGGTAGTATAGGCCTACACTGTTGCCATACATTTGGAATACATTTTCTTACCTCTTTAAATGATACCATAGTTACAAGAACATTTTATCAAACGATCAATCTTCATTTGATAAGTAAAGTAGAAGATGTGATTTCTTATACATTTCTTATAAATCAAGAATAAATCGTATTATAATAATCTTCTCATGAAAAGAGGTACGGAAAATTTATTCCAACTTTATGGGCAACACTGTTTTACCTCAATATAATGCCATTGAGCCTTCACTCCGGAAAACTGACTTTTTGTTGTTGATGAATATGTTACGTCACCTACGACAGTATGCTTTTACATGTGTTACTCTAAGAGCACACTGCTGATCAAAGCAGAATCTTAGTATGTCTTTCAATATCTTGAAGAACTTTTTAGAAAGAAACGAAAAACAACCACTAATAGAACAAATGTTATGCGAGTTTCATAAACTGATAAACATGACCATCGAATTTTTGGCGAAGTTCGAATCATCGGGTCATCGCGTCCGTTCGGTAGGTAGCGTTACACAACCTTTTGTGAAACAAAAGCGGAAGATAACGCGACTTTTTGTAGATTTGCCGTACACAGGGTTTTCACAAAGTGTCTGGTAAATTGGACCAGACCATTTTGTAGATAAGAGGGTTTATTTTACACACATAACCCCTGACGATTCGTGAATAAAGGGGCATGTTTTTACAAGAGGTCGGGTAACGCGATGACCGGACCCGACGCGATGACCCGATGATTCGAAGTAAGCCCAATTATTAACGAAATATGCATTACAATATTAGATTAATTCTACAGTTGATACATTTAGGATAGCTAGGAAGAATCAGCATATCAAGGCCAATGTTTTAAAATTGCGAAAAAGAATGTAGGGAAAATATACATTTAAAGATAAGAAAATCCATCACTAGATATAATTTTTTTGCTTTCTGATCTGATACTAAGACTTTTTAGTTTTTCTCCCCAAAAAAATTCAACGTATCTTCGAAACTGCAATCACATTTGTATTATTTCCTATAATTATGAATGACATGGAACAGGAGCAACCCACGGTCTAGAAGTGATTTTAGATGTTGAGCAGTGGAACTATTATCATCAGGATAGTCTCCCTTCAAGAATCTCAGCAGGATTTCAGCTCCAGGCATTCGACAGTAAAACAAGTACCCCCCAAGTCAATGACTATGGGATCGCTGTTGGACCTGGAACTAAGACTCGTGTTGGTGTCACAGTCCATGAGGTATCTACAGTACTCCTTGATAAATTAATTAGGATATCTACAGCACGATTGGAAAGACTCAATATATAACGTATTGTATGCCCCATAGAATTCATGTTCGGATCGTGTAATAAATACACTATTTTCATGTTTGCACATAGCAAGACGTGATGGACAAAGCTAGGGAAATTTCCTTAGGTAGCTCTTTATCGAGAGTCTTTGCTATAGTGTTCAATTTATGAATAAAATACATGAGTGGGGGCGGCAATAATTATCCACACCAGCTGTACCTTTGGAACAATCCGTCAGATATTGGACGTTTTCGAAGGTAATAATCGAGGGAGGACCATCGATAATAACGCCCTCATTGATGTATCATATTAATATCAATGCCCGAACATAATGTGTATTATTATCCTGGATTATTATGAAATGGCGACGACAATCCTTCTACCATTTTGATAAATTACTATTATCGCGAATTTCATTGTTCAAGAGTCGAATTTCAGAGCTATTCTTAAAACGATTAATCTGAGGTTTTATTGCCTTGCCTGATGGAGAAAAAATTCCTCTGACATGGTTTTATTTCGGGCAGTTTTTATTTTGTTCTTGACAATTTCAATGGTCCTACTCATTGAAATACCTATTGAAATCATGAATGGGTATGTCGTGTGCAGAGGGCAAAAAATAATGAATTATGTGAATTTTTATTTGTAGACACATAACATACCACCTCCACACGGGAAATGTGGTACGAAAAAGCTGAAGTATCATGATGGTTACAAGGTTAGTCTGTGCCAATTAGAATGCAAAACCGACTTCTTGGTCGCTGCATGTAATTGCCGAGCTCCCTATATGGCTGGTGAGATATTATGTCTTATTTCCTTTTCTAGTTCATTACTTGTATTATCTAAATCATTTTTTATGTCATGGCAACCATCATTCATATATGACAAGATTGTTGAAAGATTGCCCCATTGGTTCTTAGTTCGTAGGTACCAACTTTCTTAATCGTATAACGCATATGAGAGGGCCTTAACTTTGAGACTATAGATACTGCGCTCCATAGCAATGGAGGATCCAGGATTCTGTGTGTGGGGGGGGGGAGGGGGGGGGGGTTCTGACCGAAAATTTAGTTTAAAAAAAAAAGAATATATAATTATGTAAAACCTTACATGGTACATTAACAGGACATCTATATATAACCCTAAATGGTACATATCGTGATGACATCCACTAGTTTTAGACGGCATGTCAGGGATCAATACCTTTAGAGCTGAATCCTTCCAGTAAGAATTAGTTGAATGAACTCTTTGAGAATGGATTCAACTGCTTTGGACATGGAATCCATTATGATGATTTCCATTAATGTGGACATCACCAGTGAGTCTGTGAGAGAGTAGTCTGGAAGGATGGTATGATAATCGAAACCTCCTACGCTCTATTAGTTTATTTTATTGGTATATAGATAGTTTGATTTATGTTGAAATTCGTTTAGGAATACAAGCAAACAAATAAGCAAAGGATTATGATGTATTTTAAGTAATGAAGTTGTTAAGAAATGGCAGTTATGTCTAACAGTATTGGAAATGGTACGAAAATCGTAACATGTATGATCTGAATCTGAATAGAATGTTCTAACGTTATCATATCATTTACTGTATTGACGATGGAATTCAGAATGCTTGATATTGAAATTAGCTTTATATTATATATGCGGTATATCGCTTGGTTCATGGAGACAACGTATGGCATTAGCATGCATAGAAATAACAGCCGTAATTTATTTGAATATTACCCAGGTCCTGATAGAGAATGCAATCCACTGGAGATAGTGTGCATGAATAACGCAATGGGTAAGTACATACCGGCGTGTTCAACTTCCCTCCTCCCACCGAGTTGCAATAGTGATTTTTTTTAAAGGCTATCATCATATGAACAGGTTGCTCAATAAGCTGAAGTGCTGAAAATTGCAGAAAATATAGTAACGGATATCTTACAAGTTCCAATAAATTTGCGATTCAGCCACGAAGCTTTACTTGAATACCCTTATACTATACAAATGTTATTGTAAAATTATAGTAAATGGACCATTCTTTTATAAACCGAATTCTGCATGCCTATGCTGGAGAGGTGATGGCGGCAATTTTTTAAAATAAAACCCCGGATGCAAATTCCCCGGGAAATATGATGATGTGATGAAATGACCACCCCTCACCCATTCAATGGCTCTGAATCTCTGAATAGAGTGATCAATCCATGCTATTGTTCAAGTAACTATCATAATTGTTTATGTTCATAAAAATTATGTATGTATGTATATGTTTTTATACGAGAAAAAAAAACAGACCCAAACGAAGAGGAGATTAAGAAAAAAAAGAAGAAGATGTTAAGCATATCCATAAATATAAATACAATTCATTTTAAACACGATCATTATTTTGTAAAGCCCTTTTACATGTAAGTTCACAGTACTTTGAAGTGTTCAAACAAATTTGCATATTATGAGTGTTATTATAGGCATAACAATCAATAATGTAAGAAGAATTTTGAGAGCATTCCAAAGAAGACAAAAAACAAAGATGGTTTAAAGAACACTTTTGAGATCAAAGGCACCCAATGAAGGATCAGGATCAGGATCATTCCACTGTCGTGGTTCAGAGGACAGAACAAATGAAGATCATCTAAATGAGCATTGATGACGTAATGATCTGAAACAAACCATATTCTATTCACAGCTCATTCTTTCTCCAAAACCTATTATTGTTTCTGTGCTAGAGGACTTCAATTCGAAGGCCACTGCTGCTTGCCCATGCCCCCGGCCATGTGACGTTGTTACGTATGCCACCACGGTATCACAAGCCAAGTTTCCGTCAGACTTTTACAGTAAATTTCTTGCAGAAACACTGACTGAACGGCGGAATATATCTCTTACTGCTGCCTATTTCAGGTAAGGATTGCAACTGCTTGTAAGTGCAGTTTGAGACCAGAGTCAGTACTTATTGGACCGATTGTCCGTCTGTGAAACCCCGTGTGAAACACACAAGTGTAACAAGCAAAAGAGAAGCTCTATAGTGGAATCCAAATGGGATACCTTACATTTTTGTTTAGGACATATCCAATAGACCATTTTCGTAATTTAATGCATGTACGTCTCTGTGAAGCGCCTCAGTGTAGTAACTCCTTGGTATAAATATTTTATTCACCTGCAATGTATAATTGAATTTCAATAGTCAGAATACAAAATTCATATACTACGTGTTGTCAGGTAGGGCAAGCCATATTGTTTGTCCTACCTGGCACCAACTAAAGTAAGCAGTTCGCATGTTGACTATTGAAATGCAGTTATTCGTAAAAGGTGAATGAAATAAATCCTATCGAGGCACTTCACATAGACGTTTGCATTAATTTACATTACGAAAATGGTCTATTCCAGACGTCCTAGTTGATGAAAGGATTACTGGACCGAAGTTTTAACATATATTTTGAAGATTCAGGAAAATGTGTTTTATCTAATTTATTCACACTTTTCTTCTCTCGAGGACCTTAAGTTAACTGTCATGAAGCCCATAACTGCTACTACTACTACTGCTACTATTAGTATAATTATTATTATTATTATTATTGTTATTATTATTATTGTTACTTTTATTAGTGTTACTATTATTTATTTTTGTTATAATTATTGGTATAATTATTATTATTAATATTTTAATTTTTTATCTTTATTCTTAATGTTTATCCAAACAATGAAGTCCTATAGGAAGGAGATCCATTAATAGTTTGATAACAAATATATAGGCCTTTAATCCTGTTTTGAAATGTATTCTTCTATTCAAACGTAGCATGTTATCCTTTTACCCCAACTGGCAGACTAATGACTACTAGAAAAAAACATTTATTTACGAAACTCGGCCTCTTCCGGAAATCGAGCATTAGAAAGTATACCCCCCCCCCAACCAGAAATCTACGCTCAGAGCATTGACCTACTACGAACCCTTCCCATATATGTTCCTTAAACATTATGGGTGGTTTTCCGGTAGCGCGTACTAAGTTAGCGCGTGCTTAGTTAGTTCACACTTTTATGATGTGCCTGTTGTGAACTAATTTACCCTGAACAGATTATTTTAATCCTTCAATGAAAAGTGTCCAAAAAATTAATTTTGCACTGAAATAGGAAGAAAAAGATAATATGAGTATACACTAAATTTCAACAAAGTCCTTGGTAGATTATCTTTGTCATGAATATTGAAGGAGGAAGATGAAACCTAGCATTCCATAGAAGTGCGAACTAAAATTCTTGTTTGGTCTGGACTTAGTCCCGGCTTAACTTAAGAGAATACCACCCTATGGCCCGAATTCACAAAGGACGTTTATCGACAAACCTAGGTTAATGTGCGTCATAATGCCGCATTTTGACGCGTTTCAAACCAAGGTATGTCTCAGCCTTGCTTTGAAACGCGTCAAAACGCGTCATATGACGCACTAGGTTTGTCGACAAACCTCCTTTGTGAATCCGGGCCCATATGTTTTACTTATATGGAACTCGCTCATTCTAGGTAGCAGCAGCTGAATTATGGAACGGAGTACCTGGTATTGTAGTGAGGCAGTCACAGTTGATCAATTCAAATACAGACTGAATGAGACTGAAGACTCATCCGTTCACCAGCAGTTTTCCTTGAATTTAAATTTAGTCGGTATCTCATTTGAATGGTATCTTGTTAAATTATAGCCTAATTCTACCTCTTCCTTATCCTACATATGGCATGGGCCTGAAAAGTAATATGCACTATACTAAAGCCATTTGTTATTATTATTACGAATACAAATTTTCCGTTTTGTATTACATCTATTCTTTATTACAGCAACAGTATGTGTCTCATCAACATATTCTTTAATGAACTGAGTCGGCAAACAAACACTCAACAAGAAGCTTATGGGTTCTATAGTCTTCTTTGTAAGTCTGTAACAGTTAGCTTAAAATAGCTTTTAAAGATATAATCAGGTTGTTTGATTTGTTTATTATTATTTTTATAATAAATTCTGTTATTAAAGGGAACCAAAACCTTCATACTAAGTTACTTTTATTGTAAAGTTTAAGATATTTGAATAAAATCATTGAAAATTTGAACAAAATCGGGCAAGAAATAAGGAAGTTAAAGCATTTTGAAATGACTAGTTAGTAGTCACTATAGGGCGATATTCAATTTGATGACATCATTTGTGGACAACTCTCCATGCCTTTTGTACATCAAATTTCATGCTTTTCCTTCTTTCTTGTGATTGAGATAATCTACTCCCCTAAAAGCAAGGTATAGAATGCATAATGATATTCTACTTCACATGTTATGAAGTCGGACCAAGAACACAAATAAATACGAAGAAAACGAAAGAATTGTGAAATTTGATGTACAAAAGGCATGGAGAGTTGTCCACAAATGATGTCATCAAGTTGAATATCGCCCTCTTAGTGACTAGTCATTTCAAAAAGCTTTAACCTTCCTTATCCCTTGCCCGATTTTGTTCAATTTTTCACTGATTTTTATTCAAATATCTTAAACTTGACAATAAAAGTAACTGAGTATGAAGATTTTGGTTCCCTTTAAAGTTGATATAGGTTAAATCAAAACGTATATTTCACAATGAAAATACTGTAATCAATGCATCAATTGCACTATTATATTGAATTTCATTTGATATAATATATTAAGGACATATTCATTTCACTCAGGACTGCATGAATTATACACAAACTTCTCAAACGTTGCTTCCTGAGTAAGGGGCAAGTACATACATCCATGAAAAATAGTGTTTTACTGTTACCTCTGGAATAAGGGTCGCTGTCTCACTTTTTTTAAAGCTTTTTAAACCCTCCATCAGATACAAAGCATTTTAGATGTCATTCCTAATCGAGTAAAGTTTTGAGTTAAAAGATTTGGAAGTTACCGTGAGCAGCGACTTTCAGTCTGAGTTCAGTGGTTGCGTATGCTATCAGGTCAGTTATGCCTTCAAACTTTGTTTGAATTGTTCCACTTTTAGTTTTGCTTGATTACCAAATCTTTGTTTGCCCCCCTTTCCATCCCTTACCTGACCCTAATTAGGTGACATCGGTGGATCTCTTGGTATGTGGATAGGAGGGAGTATTCTAACCCTCTGTGAAGTTCTTGACATTATTGGTTATTCTATATACAAGGGAAGATCGTCTTAAAGCGACACTGAACTTGACTGAAGTGATGAACTTTCTGCCCTAGCATACTGTTCAGAGCCATCTAAACACAGAGTTTGGCCAACCCGGTTCGAATTGTACACAATATGGCGACTACTGCTTTATTGGGCAAGCACAAAACAAAAGAATATACGCCATGTTGTGACCCAGGGAAACCAAGTTGGCTAAGCTTTGTATATAGATGGCTCTGGTACTGTTCATTGCACAGCGTCATCTCATGATCAACTTGCCAACAGTGCGAAACCCAATACCTAATTTCTAATTCGCAGATACATGGCTCGATGCGAAAACAGTGTAGCTAGGGAAGCAGCGAGTTACGGGCTCATAATACTGCTGCAACTTAACTGAGATGGCGCTATTGGGGATTTTGCAGTAGTACGATTGTTTTCATATACGTGTACATGTATAACCAGAAAACTGTACAGATTTGCGTCGTATGTAGTAAAGGAATTATACATGACACTTTATAAAGCAATCAATATTGTATCGAGAAAGCCTAGGTATTTCTCCCAGAATCTTTTCATGCGAGTGAGTAAAAAACCAAGGGAACGTCTTGACTGGAGGAAGCATTAGTTCTTAAAGATTATTTGTCTACAATGTATGAGCAAGAATCAATCATTATAGGCTGGCCAGGAGCTAGTCTTCAAAGCCACTCCAGTTCATCCGAAACTAATTTGACACTTCCTTGGAAACAGACAGACAGACAGACAAACGAACACCAAAGCCTTTTGCCCAAGCTTTGCAGCCCTAAAATCCTCGAGATTTAGAGAAGAATCATTTTCACATTAAAACATTAATCACACAACTGAAAAATGTTTGACTTAGTTCAGTTCAATTATCAGTTTAATCAAAGTGTAGTCTTGTATTTTTAAGTTTCTTGCAGAGGCGAAATGTGGTGTCGAATAATTCTTTGGGTTATTAACAAATTTTGAAATTATATTACTTTCTAAAAAGTAGCCACAGGATATTGTAAGGATTATGTAAGCACATCATTTTACTTTCTTCACCTGGTTGGCAAGGCAAACTGAAGGAGCGGTTTGGTTAGGTATCTTGGCTATGTGAAAGCCATGTTGAAATTATACGATTCATGTGTCATAAAGAAGTAGTTGTAATAAATGTAGTAATAGATGTACTAGTAAGTGAGTTGTAATAATAGTGTGGTTGAAAATGCAACTTTGTTTGACCATAACTCCTGTCGATGTCTATGGCGGAACTTATTATTTTTAATAAGCTCTGCATTTATACAATGCAGTATCTATTCTGATTTGTTCAGTGACTTATCGATTCATATGCAGCCAAGATTACTTAAAAGCCAATTAGTTACCATTTGGTGATTGTAATAAGAGGCGTAAAACAATCAGGCAATTATATAATGCTACTTCTTTCTGCCTATACCTAAGAATTCTATAGTCATAACTAAACATGAGCTGTAATGCACTGGTATAAAAAACTCACCACGACATTTACGTGTCTCTGTAACCATGTTAGATGGTGATATGGTAGTGTGCTAAGATTATAAAACAAGGAGTTATAAATTAACTCCTTAGTTTAATCATGGATCCTACCAGGTAAATGGTCAACTTTGTATATTGTATTCTAGTTTAGCTGAATAAAGAAATGAATCTAATCTGTCAATTTAAGCAACTTTTGTTAGGAAATCTATTCTTCAATATCGTACGTATTAAACACACCAATTGAAACAAGTACTAGGCCTATTTGGCGATGTATGTGCAGGCAACACAGAAGCTAAGTACCACTCAACTAATGCAATTCTACAATCATCATAAAAGTATATGGCGCCAACTACATAATCATCGTCATCGAGAGAGGTTTTCTTTCCATATATGACGGGAACTATTGCAACATTTTCACCCAACATGTAAGGGATCATTTCCCCGCAAACGTATTGGCGAAAACAACCCCGACATCTGGATGAGAAAGAAGAGGGAGAGAGAGAGAGAGAGAGAGAGAGGAAGAGAGAGTGGGGGAAAGAGAGTGTGAGAGAGAGATAGAGAGAATAGAGAACAAGAGAGATTATAGGGATAGTGGAAATTTTCGAAAAATTCATTTTCATCTTTTGGAATGGCAATTTGTTTCTGCTCTGTGGCTGCAATTTAAGATGTATTTTAATCAATAAACCAGTCCTATTACAATCATTTTTGCATTACCCTTTGAATGTGAGTGTAATTGTCCATATTATATATGTAAAAGTAACAGCTACATTCGTGGGAGCATACAATTCACAGGTCTCTCTGAGCTTCGTTGGAACCAGCTAGACTATCAACGTCATAAATTTGGCACTCCACGATACTTTATTAGTTGTTTTCCTTTTTTTTGGGGGGGGGATGTTATAGAGACAGATCACCAGCCATATTTGGCCAAAAAAACAGAGACATGAACAAATTATTCCAACGTAATGGGCAACAACTGTATCACATCCAGGGACCTATCAATGTGTCAATATTAGCTTAGGTCTTATCCTTGAACCCATGGCCCCTACATTCTGTTATGAGACGATTGTCAATTTTTTTTGAAAAGAATTGAATAGAAAAGTGTATAAAGCTTAGACTTTTCACATCATTCTGTAAAGGTGAAATGAGGAAGTCTATGCGAACAATTTTGTACCGCCGTTTTATTTATGTATTCCAAATTGTTAACGTCATCAGAACATGTTTAGAAACTAATTTTGAAGGGGAAGCCCACTCTCATATCAAGGCGTTTTCAATAAAAGCAGACAATTTGGGAAAGACGCATATCGACATAGTTGGGGCGGACTATGGATTGTCATGTGAGGGGGAAGGGCGACCCCACAGTAATTTTATATTAAAGAAAAATGATTTGATAATCGAAGCTGGTCCCCTGAAGTAAGAAAATAAAAGTTTATAATATGAAAACAAGAAAGGGTTTCAGATTCTTTTTTTCATAACTGTTATATCCCTCAAAACCTCTGCGAGCCCTACCTTGCCTTCGCAGTGGCGGTGAGACCATTATCTTTTCCTTTCAGGTTTCTTAACTTGTAACCTCCTAATTAGGTGTAAGGTATAACTTCTGGTTTCGGTACTTCACCTACGAAAACACTTGTACAATATTGTTTACTTAAACACAAATTATTATAACTTTAACGCAAATTTATTCTAACAAAATTTTGTGTTATCGAGTTGTTTGTTCAAAGTGACTGAGCTGAACTGAATGGAACTGATGAACTGTGCTGTTTATTTGAGAGAGGAATGGGTCTTATGTGAAAGAGAGAGGGAGATGGATAGAGAGAGAGAGAGGAAGAGAAGGAGAGAGAGGGACTGATGGAGAGAGAGAGAGAGATGGAAAGAGAAGGGTAGAGAGAGAGAGAGACAGAGACAGAGACAGAGACTGATGGAGAGAGAGAGAGAGAGAGAGAGAAGATGCCGAGCTCCAGATACCAGATGACTCTATGTTTTAGGATCAGTCTATGACCAACATGATCCCTACATGAGAAATGGAATGGCCCGGTAGGGTCTGGCGAATAGCTGGAATCCGCGAAAGTTCATGATTCCCCGTGGGGGCTTGGCTGTTGTTGGTGGCTCGAATTCACAAAGGAGGTTTGTCGACAAACCTTGGTTTTCGTACGTCATATGACGCGTTTTACGCGTTTTTTACAAACCTGGTTTGTAAAGAACAAAAGGAGGTTTGGCGAAACAAAAGGAGGTTTGAGCTCAAACCTTGCTTTGTGAATTCGGGCCATTGTGTTTGTGCTGTGTTTTTGTTTAGGGAGGGGGGGGGGGGGGGGGGGGAGACTACCAACCTTTTTTCTCCACATGTTGGTCAGCCTATGTACCAAAGTTCATATGTCCTCTTTATCGACCTCCACTGGGTCATGCCATTCCTCTATCTTTCCCTCTTCGAATGAAAATAATATGAACCACCATCCTGTAATGATAGTAATAGAAATAATCATAATAATAATAATAATAATAATAGTAATAAAGTCTTGTATGGCGCTAGTGTTTGCACATTGCCACTCCTGGCGCTCCATTATCATGGCTTTAGCACGACTGCCTTTACAGCACTTGAGCATTTTAAGTATTTAAATCCTGGAAGGTACCCGTTTACCTCACCTGGGTGGAGTGTGGCAACTGTAGATTAATATCTTGCCAAAGTACTGCGATAGGGATTCGAACCTACCACTTTGTGGTTCAAAGTCCAGATAATTATTTACTGGACCACGACACCTCTTTAAACAAGGGGTCGCTTGAAGGGGGTTGGGGGATGATTGATGTAGAACCCCCGAACGAAATTTTATGTCGACAAATTTCTTCATTTTAGAGCTTTAACATACATATTTAATACATGTGTACATATAAATAATATTATATTTTTTCCCTTGTGATTGTCAGCAAATATAACCCGACACCTACAATTTAGAATATTGTATAGGGACGTCAGATAGTATATCGTGCAAACTGCAAAACTCCGTGCGGGTGTTTTTAAAGGGTGATCTTGTTACACTATCAGCAAACAAAAGAAAGAAGGAGGAAAAAAAGACAGAAGGATATTTTAGTGTAGTAGATCGGCGATGTGGTGTGTATGGTGGCCCTGAAGGGACATCGCGAATAGACCAAATCGTGAAAAATATGCGATAAAATTCACGATATCGTCAATTTTATCGCATATTTTTCACGAAGAAATTCACGAAATTGACGATATCGTGAACTTTATCGTGAACTTTTCACGATGAAATTGACGATATCGTGAATTTTATCGTGAAAAGTTCACGATATAAAGTTCACGATATCGTCAATTTTATCGTGTACTCTATCGTGTACTCTATCGTGTACTCTCCTGACGGGCGCTTCGTAAACAAAACCAGCCCTAGCTGGGGGAGACAGAGAGAAGGAAAAAAGGGAAAGGGAAAGAGAAGATAAAAGGAAAGAAAGAATAATAAGAAGAAAAGAGGGAAACGGGGGGGGGGGGGCGAAGGGCTCTTGCCTCCTCCTCATTCCCCCCCCCCTCCCCGCCAAAAAATAAATCAGAGAGAGAGAGAGAAGGGAAAGGGAAAGGGAAAGAGAAGATAAAAGGAAAGAAAGAAGAGGAAGAAGAAGAAAAGAGGGAAACGGGGGCAAAGGGCTTTTGCCTCGTCCCCCCGCCCCCCGCCAAAAAATAAATAAGAGAGAGAGAGAGAAGGAAAGGGAAAGAGAAGAAAGAAAGAGAAAAACGAAAAAGAGGGAGAATAAGAAAGAAAGGAAAAGAAAGAAAAGAAAGGAGGCAAGAGCCCTTCGCCCCTGTTTCCCTCTTTTCTTCTTCTTCTTCCTCTTCTTTCTTTCCTTTTATCTTCTCTTTCCCTTTCCCTTTCCCTTCTCTCTCTATCTCTTATTTATTTTTTTGGCGGGGGGTGGGGAGGGAGGAGGCAAGAGCCCTTCGCCCTTCCCCCGTTTCCCTCTTTCCTTCTTATTCCTCTTCTTTCTTTCCTTTTATATTTTCTTTCCCTTTCCCTTCTCTCTCTTATTTATTTTTGGCGGGGGGGGGGGGAGGAGGCAAGAGCCCTTCGTCCTTCCCCTGTTTCCCTCTTATTCCTCTTCTTTCTTTCCCTTTCCCTTCTCTCTCTCTCTCTCTCTCTCTTATTTATTTTTTTGGCGGGGGGGGGGGGGAGGTAAGAGCCTTTCGCCCTTCCCCCGTTTCCCTCTTTTCTTCTTATTATTCTTTCTTTCCTTTTATCTTCTCTTTCCCTTTCCCTTTTTTCCTTCTCTCTGTCTCCCCCAGCTAGGGCTGGTTTTGTTTACGAAGCGCCCGTCAGGAGAGTACACGATAGAGTACACGATAGAGTACACGATAAAATTGACGATATCGTGAACTTTATATCGTGAACTTTTCACGATAAAATTCACGATATCGTCAATTTCATCGTGAAAAGTTCACGATAAAGTTCACGATATCGTCAATTTCGTGAATTTCTTCGTGAAAAATATGCGATAAAATTGACGATATCGTGAATTTTATCGCATATTTTTCACGATTTAGTCTATTCGCGATGTCCCTTCAGGGCCACCATAGGTGTGCATTTTCATTTCTAGATCCAAGATACTCGTGTATAGTATTTGAGATACAAAATTATCGGTTGGCATTTCGAAACCTCTCATACTTTTTAGAAGAGAGGGTAGGTTTTAAATAAAATGGTAAAAGAGGGGCGTTTCACTCTAAATACATTTTAACTTTTTCGCCTTAGTAAGGGACTTATTTGAACATTTTCTGCTAAATAGGTACCTCGTTAAAATCTTGGAACCATTCATAACTTGTCTGAAGACACATTTATTCAAAATTTCTTTTGATGATTAACTCACTCTGTTCACATTGATTTATATTTCATATGTATTGTAATATTTCATATATATTGTAATTAAGGTTTATTTGTAATTTTTGTTTTGTTTAATATGTGTTGATCATTGTATTTTCTTTGTTATAGCGCTTAGATACTTCGGTGGTAAGTGCTTTATAAGCACCGTTTTTATTATTATTATTATTATTATGTGTAACAACCGTGTAATACAGACAGGGCACCATACAGGCATTCACATGTCGTACATAATGTTGTCTACCTAAACATACCCTCACATATGCGTGTCTCAAGTTCACGCTCTGTATGGAATTCAATAGGGGAAGTATGCTAACCGCCCAACCCAGTCTTCATAACGTTCAAGGCCGAACCATACCAATAACATTCATGTTAGATACCGGAAAGGCAGTATCACTGCACATCTGCTTTATATAGCGTGTTCTTCATACTCTACTGCAGCCATATTATACAGGTGATTCTTCTAGGACATCATGTTTTGTTCGACTATCAGCCGTCTCTTCCTTTGCCCTTTGGCAACAGTGTTGATACTCTATGCTGCTATATCGGTAAGTACAACTCCACAATTGTCGGGAAACAATGCTTATACCATTCTTCAGTTTGTGTGTATGGCAAGGATCATAATGATGATCAATCTAAGGAAAACATGTGTCAACGAATAAGAGCCAAATAGTATCGTTTTTAGGATATGCTTTTACTGACATAATATTAAGAGATAAGTGACGATGATATTGAAGTGTTTCTCCGACCCCATGTGTTACTTTATGCTGATTGCATCATAATAATGGCTGGATCTGCTGAAGAATTGCAGTCTGCCTTATCTGCTGCATATTAGTACTGTGAGCTTTGGAAATTGTTTGTTAAAGGTAAAGACCAGTAATGGTCATGCGATTGCATTGTGAAAGAAACGTTGTGGAATCGATCAGAAAAGGTTGATCATCTAGCATCTAGCATCTGCAAGGTTTTGGAATCATGAAAATGATAAGAAATTTGGCCCATTCTTCGTAAAGTTACAAGCACTATACACAGAAAGATGTATATGGGACTACCCTATATCTCTCACAGACCATGAGAGAAACAAATTTACCAAATATATGAATTAGTAGGCGGTTTCCCGGCAAATTTGTTATCATCATGTATTAGTCAAAACATATTCTTTCACATGATTGGTAATGAGAGCTTCCATTTCATTTTTTAAAATTGGGGCGTTTCCAATACTGGTCTTTACCTTTAATGCCAGTAAGACTACATTTTTAAAAAATTTCTCGCGAGGGAAAGTTCGTTAATACCCTGCATCTACTTTGGTGATAGTTATAAGATTGATTGTGTTGATGAATATACTTATCTTGGTACTACCTTTAACTATAATGGTACCTTTTGTAATGTTATAAATAAGTAGGTTTTACTCAAGCCAGGAGAGCCATGTTTCATCTTTCTTGTAAAGCTAAGAAATTGTGGTTACCAATTGACATTCAATATGAGCTCTTCGATCAATAATAGTTGTTCCAATTTTATTTTATGGGTGTGAATTGTGGGGGTTCGAAGACTGTATTGAAGTGTTTTTTAGGAAGTTTCTCAAACCCTGCTTAAATTGAACCGTGGTACTGCAAGTTATATATGTATATGGCGAAGTTGATAGATTTGTTTTAGCTAGTAAAGTGGAGAGGCGTATGATAAATTTTTGGGCGAAAGTTACTCATTGAAAGAAATTTAAACTGTCGTGTACTATTTACAATTTGTTACGCAAAATATATGATAATTGTTATTTTGAATCGAATTGGATTACAAAATGAAAAGTATTTTAGACCTGAGCGGAATCTCAAATTTATTGGTAGAAATACCCCTTAACCATAGAATGGGTGAAATCATCTATTGATCGTAGATTAAATGACACTGATTTGCTAAACTGGAATGAAGAAGTTAGTATAAAATGTTTATGTTTCAATTACGGGATTTTGAAACAGGAATTTGGTATGGAACAATATCTGTTACAGTTGGATTTTAGTGATAGAACATCTCTTTTAGTAAATATCGATGTGGTAATAGTAAGCTGCCCGTCACTCAATGTCGTTATTTGCCAAGTCAGCCTCTAGTCAGCCTCTAGAATTGTGTTCCTTACGTCATCCCGAAGTTATGTACAAGGTGGTGAATTCCATTATTTTATCTTTTATCCAGCTTTTGATAACATTCGTAATAAGTACTACATGTATGTTAAGAAATATTATCACAGTAGACCTAACATCAAAATTCACCAGTTGTTCAATATAACTTGTGTTAAACAGTTAAAGAATCTTTCTACATTCTTGTAAAATCAATACGTCGAATTTTGGAATAAAAAAAAAAAAATTATTTTCCCCAAAGCATTAGTGACCCTCGGTTTCTTCATGCACATGTATATATATATATATATAATAGATTGTATACATTTTAAATTTGTTATAGCATAGTATACGTGCTGACAATATTTGTAATATAAGATTTATAGTTTAAGTCTATTTTTGGGGGTCGTTGTTCATTTGTTGAAATCTTGCCTTCACTTTATTATGTGTTTAGTTTGCTACCAAAGAACCCCTCTTTAGTAAGATACATATATGCTTCTTTTTTTTTTAAGTGTCTGAATTGTAAAAGATCTTTGTACCATTTATCTGTATTTCTTCCATGCCCCAGGTTGGGTCGTTTACGAAATAAAAAAAACCTTTCAAACTTGTTTAACCTTTCAACCGTATTCAGAGCTAGCAAAATATTCTCCTATCATGCCTATAATACGTTGCCCCTATGTTCATTCATTCAGTAATATACGGAATTCTGGCGACTTAGATATGCAACAAATTCATAATGTCATAATGTAAAAATGGTAAAAAATGTAGATCGCGATGAAAAATTTAACATATTTCTTAAAGAAAGAAGAAAGAAAACAAATAGAGACCAGCTTTTGGACAAACATCTCATAATTTACTTTTTGGATACTTAGACTTAAATAATGTTCGTTTCCTTACGTATGCAAATGATCTAGGCAGAAACTACAATTATCTATTCCGTAAAATCCATAAATTTTCCTTTTTCAGGAAGACGAAATATTTCACAAAGGGTCATGTGACATAATAATGCCACACTTCATTTTGGGATGTTAAATAATGGGTAAAGTCGCGGGAAAAATGACATAAAACCGCTATCCTAGTAGCCAACAGTTTCCGGGGGAAAGGGAGGGGCGTCCGTCTAGCGCCCGCGAGTGTTGTGAGGTTGTTAATTCTTTATAGACATACATTAATAATTTATAAGAATACATTTAACAAATCGATGCTTTCACGACATAGAAGAAAACAAATCTTCACTGCACAGGAATCCTTAGGTTAAATGGAAATGCATATTACTGCGTGTCCTACGTGCCCGTGAAATCAGTGGCTACATTGCTGAATTCTTGTACAAATATTTTGTTTCTTCCCGATTTGAATGCCTATTGTTATACATTTTTATCATGCGTGATATCTTTTGTACGTTATTCATCATAATTCTTTTGAGAAATGGAGCACAAACTGATCATCCTGCTAGTCACAGCTATGTTTATTTACTTAATCGTTGTCTAGGTCTCCAGATCTTTTGTTATTTTTTGGGGGGCGAAATATTTTCTTGCTTACGTTTGATCATGACTCCTGGCAACTGGCATGACTGGTAACCCCAAGCTAAATGAAACGACAATGGTTTCACGATGTACACTAGTAGGGATTGCCGTATAAGGACGTCACACGTAGCAGTCCACTATGTCGACGTGCAAATCTAAAAGTCCCTATCGTGATCCGCTACTGCAAAAATCATTTTGCTGTAGGAGTCTCCGAACAGGGATTTTTTTACTTCAGGGACCAACATTAGATTTATTAATGGTCTCATAATTTAAATCTATGAATACACCCCCTCGTTGGACGAAATTAGATGAAATAATGCGGTAAAAAAAAAAAAAAAGTTTCCTTCTGTTTTCCCGCTCAATATACCACTTATTTGTTGATCCCTGGCATTTTTGGAAACGAAAGAAAGAGAAAAGCACGAAGATGTCAAATATGGCTATATATGGCGGTCTTAAATAAAAATGGAGTGAACGTGTACATGGGTTTTAGTGTGACAATGGAACCAAATTCTTAAACTTTTAACTTTAATACCTTGAAATTAACTTTCGGTGATTAAAAGCACGAAAAAAGCAATAATTTCAATCAATTCCTCTAAATAAGGTATCATATTAAAGGTAATTTCTTACTCTATCCAGTGATAATACGACAGTGGCTTTCCATTACCCCTTTAAGTGGTAGGTTTGCCATAGAAGGTCACAAATAGTTCGGGATACGGAAGCCAATGCAATGTAGCCTGAGAGGAGGGGCTCCTAGGCATGGGAAGCATAAGAGATTCCCTTTATTTCTGAAATAAAGAGGTGAACATATAAACAATGCGGTCAAAAATAAGAAATAAATAAATGCTGTCTTTTATATCCGTTTTAAACCACTTGACCGTGAAACTGAAAAAAATTGAAATTAGATGAAAATAATGTTAACGTTTACCTTTTCTCAATTATTATTATCTGAGGGGTTCACAAGCTAGAAGGTCTGCTTTTTAGTGGATCCCTCCATTGTTTGGGTCGCATTTGTAACAATTCCGTTTTTGTTCATCGTGTCTATCTTGTTAGTTTGAAATGTAAACAAGTTTTATGAATGCGACATTGTTGATAATTTCAATTTTTGTATTGCTGCTTCCCGTTTATATCTCGTACCATAGTTCAATCGAACCAGTGAAAATTGATAAACATCGAAACGGAACTCGCTCATCAAAAAATACACGACTAAATATTGAATCGAACTTTAAGGAAATAAATGGAACAACTTTATGTTTCTTCCCAGGCTATAAATCGATGGGTACTTTCGTTGTGAGTCTGGTCCTATGGAATGCGTTTTATACTCAACTAATAAGTGGCAGACGTAGTTTATTATTCATAATTTTTTGTTGTTACTAAAATTTGAACTCTGAAAATCTCATTCATGATCTTTTCCTAAAAGAAGAGGGTAATAGTCAACAATACACATTCCCCATCATGATAACCTGACACCAAGTATTGTCGACTCATGAGTACTTCATTCGATCTTCAATATTTCTTTTCGAAGTTGATCAAATGGGGTACGTATCCCTAAAGTTCATGAGTGGCAGAAATTGCACATTCTCTTCTTCTTCTTGAAAACCCATGGTTGGATTCTAACCACAATTTGTAGGAATTACCTGCAGGAGATTTATATATAGATGACGCCTATGTTAGACAGTATAATAATAATAATAATAATAGTGTAAACTTATAGAGCGCACACACCGTCAAGGGACGCTCATGGCGCTAGCTCAGCAACAGTTCTCTTTGATACAGGAAAAGTAAATAATTTTACAATTTTTTGTTGTTGCAATATTATACCTCCTGAGCTTTATAGCTTTCTGAAAGTTGCCTGTGTAATTTGTGGCAATATACATTATTCTTTGCCTCATTGAACGCTAAATATCGTGGTGATTGATCTTGAATTCAATC